TCAAATCAATAATGGGGAGCATATAAGCTCCCCTCTTGACTAAAATTGTCATGAGTCACAGACAGCAGCATCACTGAAGAAGAATGATGAGTTGTCCATGCTCATCAATAGCTAGAGGGCCACATGTCCCATATGCCCAGTTCAAACCTTCCCTATCCATGCATCATGATCCCAAACCAGGTCAAGGTGGCCTTGTGAGTAAAAAGAATCCTGGAGCACACATTTATTGCATAGTTTAGTTCTTAAGACTGCCTGGTAGCAGCATCTGTTTTCAATGTATTGTGACACATGTTTTGGAACCAAGGGAAGAGTATTTACCTTCTTTTTGCACTTCACATCATTTTAGGCCAGAGTGGTAAAGGTAAAGGTTCACCTTGACATTTTTTAGTCCAGTTGTGTCCGACTCTAGGGGGCGGTGCTCATCCCATTTTTCAAGCTGTAGAGCCAGCGTTTGTCCAAAGACAGTTTCCATTGTCACGTGGCCAGCGTGACTAGGGAATGCCGTTTTACCTTCCCAGTGAGGTAGTACCTATCTATCTACTCGCATTTACATGCTTTTGAACTGCTAGGTTGGCGAGGAGCTGGGACAAAGTGACGGGAGCTCACTCCATCGCGTGGATTCGATTTTACGACTGCTGGTCTTCTGACCCTGCAGCACAGGCTTCTGCGGTTTAGCCACAGCACCACCACGTCCCTATACAAGCCAGAGTGGTAGAGTTCAGCAAACGCTGATTAAACACAGAACAAGTTATGAGATAGCACGAATATGAGTCATTTTTTTTCCATTAACTATCTGCTTGATTGTAACAAAAGGTGCATAGAAAAATGCAGAGTAGTAAAGAGAAGAAATGAGAGATAGCTGTCTTATTAACAGTCAGTTACAGCCTACTCTGGGTAATTTTAACATGCCCTTTTAAACTCTGTGGCCTAGTAACTCAGTAACCCATTGGACCCTGTATTAGAAATCACAGCATTGTACAAACAAAACAAAGTCCAGACAGAAAAGAAGTTAATATGAGCTGAGCAAAGGCCAGACAACAGGAGCAAAGAAGCGCAGAGACAAAAATCACAACAGTCTTAGAGATCTATACAAAGACTACTACTAACTTGCCTGGCCATGGGATATTCTCTGACTGTCTTTGTGAGAGAGCTGCCCGGATGGTTTATCTTCAGTGGAGTTTTCTTGCCAGTGACTTTGCTTCTGCTGCTTCTCATTGCTTACTTTAGGATGAAGCTAAAAGAGGGTGAGTCAACCACCACAGTAGACATTGAAAGAGGGGCAGGGAGAACTAATGGTAAAATAGAACAATCCAAATTTAATCTCTAGGTAATTGGGACTATTAGACTAATTCATGCTTCCTCCATTTACTCTCAAACAATATTTAAGTGTCTTGCTAGTAACTGAGATTATCCCAAGCACACTTGCCTAGCAGAGCCCAGCAAATACCCTATCTTTTACCTGCCTGGATAGTTCAGAGGTACCTGCATAGACAGAGATGGGAGTTCAATTCCCAATTATGACTCCAAGAAGAACCAGCCTTTGCAGCCTTGTGCAAACTGCCCAGTGAGTTAGAAGAAAGTGCAGAATTTTGAGTATTCTATGTCTAGAAAACCCTGGAAAGGGTTATCATAAAATGGGTTTGACTTGGTGGCTCACAGTTATTATTTATCTGCTAATCATGTGTGCCACATTTCACAAGTCAGCTGAGATAAAAGAACATCGGCAGGTAGAATATACACGACCAGTTTTGTTATATTTCTAAAAATGAAAGAGTCATACAGATTTGATTTCCATGCAGCAGGAAAAGTGAATTTATTTTTATTTTTATGTCAGACTCTATGTCATAAGCCTAACAGCCATCCATTTTTCCAGTACTGTATAATGCATTTTGAAACTGATTTTTAGTTTCTTACAGCAGCACAGATGCGAAGTCTTGTCAAATTTCGCACTTGTTCTTAGTTACACTGCTCCTGATGTAGCTGCAATCCCTGGCTGACCAGATCATATGTGTAATATTATCTGTTCAGTAAGACTGGGGCCAAAGAGGCAAATACAGCATAAGTGCAGATCTTATGGTGATCTATGATGAACGGAAATACTAGTTGTCAAGAGACTGGCAAATGAGATGATGATCTCAGTTGCCTTTGGAAGTTCCCATAGTTTGGGTAAGGGTGGGCCAGGAGAGAAGGGAAGAAATTGCCTGTTCCTTCGAAGTTTTGCCAGCTGCCTTTTACCACTGTGTGAGAAGGTATTTCCAAGATCATAAAACACTCTTCTTGGTACCAAACTAATTAGTGAGGAACTGGTTTCAGGAGAAAAAGAAGAAAGGAGTGAACTTGTTTTATCAAAAGTTACTCCCTTCTGCAAGTTTAGACGATTTGGGACCTATTGGTGGAACATACTGGAAAAGTCTGGGAAGGTGGATGAGGGGTATAAAAATGATATGGGGACTTTGCGTAACCAGTATAGAAGGCCATATTTGGCCTACTGACTATAAGGGCCTTGATCTAGAACACATGCTCCCAATAACTGGAATAACCTTAAAAAAACAACCTCATATAACAAAGTTCTCAGTTTCTTCTTTCCTTTGCCTCTTCTATGTTGTTTCTCTTGTAAGTTCTTCAAGAATATGACAAAATTATCTTTGAGACCGTACTTTAAATAAGTTTACTGTCCGTAAGATCTTATCCTTAATCACAACTCAATAAGTGAAAAGAGGTGCAGTTTGATTCTGTCAATCATGTGAAAAACAGAATTTTCTTATTTTTATTTAATAAGGCTTCATTCCAATATGGCTATGCTTTTCTTGTAGTGTATGAAAAAAAACAGATGAAACATCCAAGAGAGCACATGGCATTAACAGAGGTTTCTCCAGCTGCTTTCATTATGCTGTTCTCCTTTCAACTTTGCTGCCACCAACTAACTGCTTTTATCCTTTCCAGTGAACAAAGAGCTCTCTCTGGCCAATAACCCCACGGAGGCAATACTTGAGTACTATGCTAAATGTAAGAAATTGAAGACTTCTAAGAGGAAACCCAGATCATCATAAACAAAATTTAAGGAAATTTCATGTCAGGATACACTTTCTTCAACACGACCTATTTAATCTATGATTTAGGAAGTTTGCTGCTACATCAACAACTGGAAGGAACATGTTACAATCACTTTGATTGAAAGAGTGAACAAACAGCTACTTAAAAGTGGAGTTTTAATGATTTTGGAGCCTTTATGGAGTAGTAGCTTTGCAGAACTGATCTGGAAAATGGCACCATTGAATATCTAACTATAGGGTTTGGGACCAGAGAGAAATAACACATAAGATGGAAATGTGGGCTTCCCTTCTGTTGCATTATTTTCCTTTCTGCAACCACAAGAGTTAGTAATTCAAAAAGTGAAATGAAATGATGATCTTCTACAAAAGTAAACAGAATGCAAGAGCAAAGAATAACAAATGGAAACATACTGTACAAGTCACTGCTTGTTTGTAATTGATAGTGCTGTCTTCCTCAGGTCTAAAACCTTAACACAGGTTTATAACACTATAGTAGAACAGGACATCAACTTTCCTTAGGAACCTAGCACCTTGATACCAATGAAATACAGTTATTTCCTTGGCTATTGATCTTTTATATGCAATATGGCTATGGTACTGCTTTGGCCAGTATCCTACTCCACCCACACAACAGCAGTGATGTCACTAGCTGCAATTTTGGGGTGCACAACTGATGCACAAAGACACAAACTCACATGTATTCTGAAATTGAAAAAGAGAACTCTTTAATTAGTAGCAATCTTCTGCAGCTTGGGACATCAGTCCCACTGTGCAAACAGAGCTATGCAACAGGATACTGGTCACTGGATACCTCCTGTGATATCACTAACAATAAGCTACTCCTTCAGGACCCAGATGCTTCATTTTGGCGTTTAAAAGCAATTTCAAAAGTTAAAACTTTTTAATATTTTAAACCATTTTCTACCTAATGAATGAAATTTTCCACAATGAAACTACCGTATATTTACTTCAGCAAGGAACAATATGAAAAACACAAATGGTTACCTTCCTTGAGTTTAATAATGACTATTTTTCTACACTAATGCTCTTCTTCAACACTTTCCCCTCTGAAATATGAATGATCCCCATTTCACCAGAAACGGAAATCTATTTGTTTGTTCACTTGGAAGCTTATCTCACTGTGACCAAAGGACTGGGTGTGGTATGCCTGGAAAACTATGAGGGAAGCAGATGCCATTGCTACTAAAACTCACTACTAAATTAAGAACAATTGATGGACATAATCTAACACAGGGGTCAGTGAACTTTTTACCTTTTACCCCCTAAAAATTTATATACATCGACATTACCCCCTTGATTTGAAACGAAGGTTCTCGGTCACAAAATCTAACACATAGTTGAAATGAGAGAATGTTATGGGGGCTTAACAGATTGTTTCATCCAGAAAAATTAGAGATAGGGCAAACCAATAACAATGGAAAGATTAAGTAGTTTTTGTTTCAAGTCAAATAGGCTGGATATAGACCGAGTTAGGTGTGTGTTTTCTGTCCTGTTGAAGTTACATGAAACCCATGTTTATTCATTCCTATTAATTTAAACAGAAACAAAGTGCCAAGAACATAGTCTGAATCCAACCCAGCCTTCCTAAAACAGAGACTATTGGAGACATTTTCTTACCAGGCTGAATAAAGAACTACAATTACAATGGCCAGAAAATGGTAGGCTATAGTTCACTCACAATCTCTTGTCTTTTAAATGAACTGGCATGTATTTGTTGAAATAAAATCCTTTAAGAGAATGTCCAATTGCCATGTGATTAGAATGAAGTAATGAGCTTTAATAACATGTATCTAAACAGCAAAACTAATATGTTTGTCCTAACAATGTATTTAATTCCAACATGTGTTTATAAAGTTATATTCCAACTATGGTGAAAGAATCTAAATTTGCCTTTTAAAATGTCAAATACATATGTGGGGAAACATGTAGAGAATAAACAAACTTTATTTTATAATAGTATTACATAAAGCAAAATATCACTTAATACAACTTCAAGCTGCTATAAATTTAATATGGCATCTTAACTATACATAAGGTGAACAGTGGGGAGAAACAGACACCACAGTTAACAGGTTTTCATACAAGGCTCCTCAGTGACAACCTCATCCTATAAAAAGGTGGTTCCATACTACTTACAATAGGCCCTAGACTGCACCGTGGCCCCTCAATGCTCTTAAAACCTGTGCAAGTCATTAAGCAAAGTACATAAAACAGAGTCAACTGATCAACGGAAGTGTCAGTTATAACAGGGAGACAATGAGTTTTTTAATGCAATGCAAATATTCTGCACATGTATTCATATAATGAAAGTGTTTGACATTTAACAAGTTATGAGGAAAGCACTAAGGTTTTAAGCTGCCTAGATTATCTTTGCTGGCAGGGAAGACAGAAGTCTTTCCACTCTTGTCTGGAATGTTGCTGACCACAAAATGTCTATGAAGGGATTGAACAAAGGGTGTGAAGTGCATAAAGGTTACTAAAGCAGTGCTCAGTCAACAGAAACATATTTGTAACTCTCCCTCTTATTATACCAGCACCAGTTCCCTTCAGAAAATGGGGGATCGTGAGAACAGAGTAAGTTACAGTTTGTATAAAATCCATATAAATCTTAATTTATTCTTCCTGCCAAGTTATAAGAAAGCTTTGTAGGGTTTTTTTCTTAATAAAAAGATGTATCTTTCTTATATTATGTGATATTTAATTGCCTGAATAATCTGAAAAGCTGTTATTCCACTAAGAGGCTTTACTTGAAAAATTCTGAAAAGGCTACATCTAAATTAGGCAAAATGTTTCTTCTTTCTGCTTTTCACTCTTGCTCAAGTGAACAATGCTTACTAAATATTTCTGTTCACTTTCATGCAATCAGAAAAATCAGTTATATAAAAATGGCAGGGAATTGTGCAAAAAAATAATACATCTATAACCTCATAAAAAAGCCAAGAATGTTACGAACTGGTTATAAAAATAAAGATGTAGATAGTAAAGGATGAAAAACAAAAGGTTTGGTGTTGGCAGTTTATTCTGGAGAAGTCTGGCCATCGTTGGTGGGCTGGTGAATTCAGGAAAACAGTGGCAGGGACACTGACTTGGAATGACTGAAGTTCTTCATAGTCACAGATCATACTTCAAAATTCTGAAGAAGGAAAGCAGACCAGCAAACTGTGTTATACTGTACATAAATGTTGAAGGCAATTTTAAAAAGTCAACTATGCTGTACTTGTCACCCCTCCCATGTACAGTACCACATTTCCTGGTCTCAAAAAGCACCAGGCTTCCTGCTCTAGAAAAGCAGCTGTCTCTGTTTTCAATAAGCTAACTACAAAATCTAATTACAAACACATAACCACATTTCCTGGTCTCAAAAAGCACCAGGTTTCCTGCTCTAGAAAAGCAGCTGTCTGTTTTCAATAAGCTGACTACAAAATCTAATTACAAACACATCTGTTCAAATGGAGACAGGCACACTATCTGCTCACTTCACTCTGTGCTGATAAAAGGTCACACCACTAGCACAATGAGCAGCATCATGTCATGACCATGACATACTTGAAGGCCTATAAAAATGGCAAGAAATATGGCTTGGTTTTGCAAGCATCACAGGTATGACGTAGTTATTAGGGTGCTCAACCAGACTTGGGGTTTTCTGGTTCTGCTCTTCACTAAGTCATGAAAATCACTGGGTGACCTTGGCACAATTATTCTCTCTCAGCTTGAACAACCTGTAAAGTTAGTTTTGAGAATAAAAAAAGGTGGAGAAGAGCAACGGACACTATCTTTAACGTACTGAAAGAAAGACATGGTTAAAACATAACTTAAAAAATAAATACATCCTCCAAGCATTGGAGTGGGTTCTAGCTTGAATGAGTGACTTGCTTCTTGCTGTCACTTCTCCTACTCATCCAAAGGAAAGAGCTAGATCCTCCCTGTTTGGGATATAATCTGTTCCAAGGTTCTGGGGAACTTTCTTTGGCACATGGAAGTTATATTTCTGATGGGTCTGGGAGGCAGGCACACTTGGCAGTATCCAAACCCTGGGACTGAGAAGACCTAGAGATAGCAATTAGGACCTCTCTGCTACCACCCTGCTATTGCAAAGGCAAACCTAGGAGGACAGAGTGTGTTTGGGATCACCTGATCCTCAACATTCAGTTCTGGGCCTTTGGATGGAGTTATAGTCTGTTTCTAAAAAGATAATGGAGAGCCTCGAAAGGCTTTCGAAAAGGTACTGTCCATCTATGTGCAGGCTCTTACCTTATTCTCTTTCCTCTTCAAGTTCTGTTTCCTTATGCACCACTACTCTTGTTACAGACATGTCAGGGTGCTGCTCTTTGGCTTCTTTAATGGCTTGTGCCAATGCCTACATAAATATTGAAAAGAATCTACTGAACAACTGGAAGTATTAGAAGATTTGGTACAGCAGATAATGACTAGCAAGACTACCCACACTATACTTCCTAGATCCACTGTGTTCTGGAGAGAGGACTTTACAGAAGACAGGTGCCATTCATCAACTTCTAAGTCAGTTAATAAACACTTAGCAGCCCTACTGCCTTGTCAGGTCTTAGTTTTGAAATGTAGTAATTTTTATGCATAGTTTATTTACAATATTTAACCGTCAATTCTCAGTTGAACTTCACAAAGTCATTTATATAAAAATCACTAGAATAAGTATCAGTAAAAATGTACACAGCAGTATAGCAAACGTTAGCAAAAGAATATTTCAAAAACAGTATTAGAAATATGTAGATTTACATACTTACTAAACAAGACCACAATGTCGAAGTGTTACTACTACCCAGGTAGGCAATGTCCCTGAAGTTAGGGCAGGGTAATTAGCAGATCTGCAAGGGACCAGACCAATCCTTTGTCTTCAGTGAAGTGACAGCCTCTAAACTGTTGCCATCCTCATCTCCATCTCATGTAGAATCTTAATTTTTTATTTGCATTCCTGGTGGTCTCACTGCATGAGCTATGGGCATCATATGTAGCCCAATTTTGGCCTTTGCACTTGAAATCTAAGTTTTATACCTTTTGCCCGACAACAAAGTTATGTAGAGTTTAAAAGCTCAGCTTCTTTGAAATGTTTTACTGATTCATAAAGTTATTGCCTAGTCTAGAGTTTACCTTACTTGGGTATTTTTTTTCAAAGTAAGGATCCCTTTTCCATATTACAGTATATCTTCTAAGACAGAGGATAAATGTTGGGCTGCAATGCAGAGAGAAGAAAGTGACATCTGGGAGACTGTTTTGCCCTTATTCTGAATTATCCTTCTGACAAAGGATCTGCAAAGGGTTTTGTCTGCACAATGCATTGGTACAAAACTTCTGTGTTGTTGCAAATTATTCACCCACCATCCATTATTTTGACTGAAATGTTTCAGCTAACAAACATTAAAGCTCTCAGAAATGCTTTCAGTGCAAACATACTGATGAGACTATGAGGTAACTGAAGGGTACATTTTCAATGCATTCTATCCTCATTATTACCTTGTACAGCCTCTGTGGGGATGTGTGCACAAACATCTCTTATCCTATCAATGCCTCTTTAAATGGCTTTAAATACTGACCCACTTGGGTGAAAATAGCACACAAAGTGGACTCCAGCCACTGCAAACACACTTAGGTCACAGGTTTCCAACAATGCAATGGCCAAATGCCTTACTGTGTGGCTAAAACACCATGCTTTTAGGTACCTTGTCTTTTATGATTCTTGTATGCCCTGTATAATCAATGTAAGCTATCCATTTCTTAAAAATCAGCCGGCCACCAGAGGTAAACTGATATCTGTCTTACTACTTAATGTTAAATTTATTTGTATTACAATGCAATGTGGGGACTGTGGACTGCAATGGCATTTCAGGGGAAAATCAGTGAGCAGGAGTGCTCAATCATTTCCTCAAACTCTAATTCACCCCTGCAATAGCATCCTTCTTACTGCTTAGCTCATTTTTGTCTAGCTGAGCTCTTGGACTAGATATGCAAAAGGATGAAAAACAGACTAGGGGGGAGATGAAAGAATCAGTAGGCATGCCCATGTCCTCATTTAAATCTTCTACACACAAACATGCATATTTGTGCTGTTGCAGCAACTGCAGCCACTGCACATGTGGAAATATGTGTTTGTCAAGCTGATAAGAAGTTCTTCCTCAAGGCAGCAGTCAGCAATTTTCATTCCACACTTTATATGTGGAAGGTAGAGATGGGGATGGCTCACCATTTTGGTGAGTTGTCCCGCTTTGTGAGCCGTCAAAAGTGGCTAAGGTAGGGGGGGGGATAGGCTGTGGTGGTAGATGGCTTGCTTATCAGTGGGCTGGTAGGCAGAATGGGAAAGCCATAGGAAGAGAGGGAAGGATAGCCTTCCCTCTCTTTGTATGGGGGATGAATAAAAATGGGAAAATATTCATCCCTTCATATTCGTGGAGGTCTCTGGAAATACAAATATGAAGGGACAAATATTAACGAATCAGCAATTTCTGACGAATATTGCGATTCTTTTTTATTTGTCCCCATGTCTAGTGGAAAGTATAAGCAACTAGCAACTTCTCCCTAAAGATCTTCTGAAAGCATTTTGAAAACTACTCAGATGCACCACAGGCAAATAAATCTATTTTACTTTTAACAAATTTTATCTGTTGCTTGCCTGCTTTTTTTTAGCCCCTTTCTTCAGCCTAATTCTTGAGATCCTGATCTTTTCAGGGTCAAAGACTCAAAACTGGAATCAGCAAGTGAATGGTCCTTATGTGTCTGTTCTTTTATTTCTTGATACGCTTAGAACTGTGCCTCAGCTTCGAGAGGGTTTAAGCGCTGAGTGTTGTTCGCTAGACACCCTAGTGTTTTCTGGGCCAAGTTTCCTCAATTTCAGTCACTGTGTCAGACTTCCTCAATTTTGGTTGCTGATGTCAAATTGCTTTTGTGATCAAGGCTTTTGATGTTACTTTTACTGTAGTCAGTGTTGAGGATTTCTATGCTAAGTGGGCATGCTTCTAGGCCAGATACTGGAGATTTGAAAACTGATTGCCTCCATCTTCCACGCCAAGTGTCCTGGTGTTCCAATATTGGGAAACTTGACATCGAGCCAGAACATGCGGCTAAATGTTCCATTCATTGCACCATTTGAAATGAAGTAAGGGCTATGTAAATGACCATTCCATACCCAAATTGTGGCAGGGCTCTGAAGAAGAAGGAGAGTAGATAACACCCCCCCCCCATTGGTTTCTGTCTGCATGGAAAAGGAGGTCTATGCAACTGGAGGTTTCTGAACACTGATGACTGAGATGCTTCTGAATCCAATGATGATGAATAGGAGGTGAGGAGAAGATCAGTTTTGAGTGTTGATGTTTCCCACTATGTTTTTTATTACCCTTTGGGGCTTGCCAGGATGCAAGCTCACTCTCTGACATTTGTGTTAAATGGCTCCATGCGGATTAATGTGTCAAAGGTGGAGAGACACTGAGAGATAGAAGTGGAGCCTCATCTTCCTTCAATACTGACCCTAGGCAAACTAATTCATTCTGTTCCTTTATTTGCGAGGCTGAAGACTGTGAGGTGGGAGTATATACCACCATAGGTACAGTTGTTTCCCAAGTTGTAGCCTTGCCTTTTTTAATTGCTATTTTTCTGAGGTGGGTCTTTTCCTCTTCTTCAAAACTGATGGTGTGTGTTTTGAATGGATGGTGTCAAAATAATCTCTTTTGGTGGAGTCTCCTGTTTGGCACTCGACCCTTGCAGAACCAATTCTTTCTGGGTATCCTGAGTCGCATCGGTCTGAATAGACTCAGTGAGTACTGGCTTAGAAGGAATCTTGCAGATCAAAACTGATGGTTTCAGTGTTTCCTTTGAGAATGTGAACCACTTTGAATGACCTTTCCAAAGGTATAGTTTGAGTCTTGATTGCCTATTTCTTATTGCGACCCTTGTGAACTTTTTTACAAATTTGGCAGTAGAAGCACTTGGAGTGTCTATCTGTGAGAAAGGTTTTTCCCCCAATTATTGCACTTATCAAACGGGGCCATAAAGGCCATAAAAAGCAGAATTAAGTAAAGGACAGAATACAGTTGTTTTTTAAAAGCTAGTTGATGATAAATAACGGTTTTTTAAGGATTAAAAAGAAAAACAGGGCTATCTGGAAGAAAAGACATACAACTCAAGAACTATTTACACAAGTAAAAGTAGCTCTGCATGACAATTCAGGTGCTACTTTAGTGGCAGCCAAAATAGAACTCACAGTTAACTGCTAGGTAATGGAGCATGAACTAAGTAAAAGCAAAAAAAAAGTGTGCTGCTTATATCCCGCCCCATATTACTTCAAGCCCTTTCTGGGCAGTTTATAAGTTAATTGTGCAGGCTACACATTGCCCCCTCCCCAAGCGGGCTGGGTACTCATTTTACCAACCTCAGAAGGATAGAAGGCTGAGTCAACTTTGAGCCGGACCCGGGATTGAACCCCGGCTTGTGAGCAGTTTTGGCTGCAGTACAGCAGTTTAACCACTGCGCCACAAGGCTCTTGAATACCTGTAATGATGCAAAAACGAGGCTCTATAAGGGAAGGGGTAACAATTTTCTAGGCTCTGGAAGATTCTGATTTATTATTATTATTATTTTGCTCGAGGGAGGTGGAGCAAGGCAGCGAGAGCAGTGGGAATGTCAGGGCTCTGGGAACCCCTGTGTAAACTCCAGGTCAGCAGACCCCCAGAAGTGAAGGGGGGGCAAGTTCTACAGGAGAGTGGGCTTTCAGTGAAGGAGGGCTGGAAAACTCTGAATTCAGATAGCAATCTGTCCTTGTGAGAGTTTCTTTTCTCAAAGCACCTGGCCTGGGAGACGCCATGTCCTGGTGAATTAGCTGCCTAACTTTGCCAAGGTGGGAAGTGTGAAGATTTTTACTTGGCTATGTGAACTGTAACTGTCCTTTTATTTCTCATGACAAGTACAGCTCAAACTAAAGCTGCTGACTTAAGAGCAGAGAAGAAATAAACAAAGCAGTGGAGGAGCAATAAAGAGAACAAAAGACAGAAAAAACAAGAACAAAAAGCCAGCTAAATTGGGGTAAAGAGACAAATCAGTTTACATAATCTCTCTTTGAAATCTAAGAACTTTATTTTCTAAATGGTTTTGTTATTGTTTTCCTGAAACACAGGCTAATTTTTATCTGTGTCACACTTTAAAGAGACAAAACTTAAAAGACATAGACGGAAATCACTTTCTCATCCCCTTGTCCTCCCTCCATAGCATATATAGATCCATAATATTAGATATTTAAGAAGATTTGAGTTCTTAAAGAGAGTGTTTAGCAGAGGCACTTGGGGAGGATCTGGGTGTTTATATACAAAATGGGGGAACCCCACCCCAAGCGGCCTTGCTGTGATCTGCAAATGGTGGATTATACATTAAAACTGCCCCTGGCTGAATTTGGATTTACAACTGGATGTGCTAAGTTGGAGTTTGGACCTGGCTTAACCCATTGAACATGAAGACTGATTGACTGATGGTTTTACTGTTTTATGGCTCTTGACTGAATTTGACGTACAGGAAGGGGGAAAAACAGATATGGTGGACGTGGTATGACCTAAAGAGAAGATGGAAGTACAGGCGGGCCCGCAGGATTTATAAGGAGCTACATTAAAGTACCTGAACTTTTAAAAAGCTGAATTATTAAGCTATTGTTTTGTATTGGGTATATTTGTGATATAAATACAATTAGGCTTCTTTGTAAATTGAGAATCTTAGGGACAAAATTAAGCTAAAAGAGGTTTCCCAAGAAACAGAAATGACAGCCTTTAGCCAATGTACAAATCCATCAAAATAATGCAAGATTCTTTTAAGAACTATATACAGGAGATGCAAATGAACATTATCAATCAACTTACTAATCAGATCAAAGTCCAAACTCTAAAAATTAAGGCGGTAACTTCAGGACTCAAAGAGGACATGGCAGTGGGAGCAGCAGAAAAAGAGACTTTAGAATCAAGATGGAAGAAAGATAAAATAATGGGCTTTTATGAGAGGAAGGTCCAGGTGGATGAACTGCAGATTTATACCAATGAGAAGATTATACAAAAATGTATATTTGATTGGTAGAAGAGAATTCAGAGAATGAAAAGGTGAAAGCAGTGATGATGAAAGGGGTACAAAACTTTGGCTATAATATAGACACAGATAATTGGATTTGAATGTGGAATAATAAAATAATGGGCTTTTATGAGAGGAAGGTCCAGGTGGATGAACTGCAGATTTATACCAATGAGAAGATTATACAAAAATGTATATTTGATTGGTAGAAGAGAATTCAGAGAATGAAAAGGTGAAAGCAGTGATGATGAAAGGGGTACAAAACTTTGGCTATAATATAGACACAGATAATTGGATTTGAATGTGGAATAACAATTATAGATTGATTAAATCAGTAAACTTGAGAGAAAATGTGTTAAAGATGTTCTATAGATGGCATTTTAAAACTGGCAAAAAAGGGTGTTAGAGATCAGAAATTGATGTTACAAATACTGTCAGCAACTTCGGGCTCTCTTTTGTATAGGTGGTGGATACGTGACAGAGTAAAATGACTTTGGAGATATTATGTAAGAAATTACACAGGTATATATAACCTTTAAACTAGAAATGCTCTCGCTGAATATAATATCAGAAATTGTTGATTTGAGAGAGAGAGAGAGAGAGAGAGAGAGAGAGAGAGAACACATATGTTGTAAAAATCCGGATTGCCGCCGTGCACAGGAAGTGCAGGTCTACTCACAAGTAAGGGCGGCCAAGTGCCCATGCCTACCCACGAGTAAGGGTGGCCAAATGCATGGGTCTACTCATGAGTAAGGGCTGTCAAAGGTGCTGGGCTGAGGCGCACAGGAGGGAGGGGCTCCTCTGTGGATGGGGCGTGTGGCGGTGGCCTAGGAGGAGGCTCCCCGCCGGGAGTGAGTGCCATTGTAGGCTTCAGTCTGCCTGGTAAGATGTTGCTTTTTTCTTTTTAGAAACGTCTGGGTGGATTTCAGCTGAGGGGTGTTATGTTTCTGTGCTGTGTTGTTTTTTGCAGTCCCAGCATGGGGATTGCTCAATATTTATTTATTTATTTATTTAGCAGCCTTCAGGGCTTGCTCTGTTTATTTTTGGTGGTTTATTTTTAAAGCCCCAGCACCTTTCAATGGGGCTTTCTGTGTGCTTTTAATTTTTTTGTATTTTTTTTTTAATGCTGCAATGAATTAATCCTGTTACCATTCATTTCAATGGGAAATGGTGCTTCGACTTATGAAAATTTCAAGTTATGGCCGCCGTTCCAATATGGATTAATTTCACAAGTCGAAGCACCACTGTATGAGTAGAGAATATAACATATGTTATAGATTTTAGTATTGTAACACAGTTATGTAATCAAGATTATACTAGATATTGTACTGACTGTAAGCACTTCCCTGTGTGTATGTTTTGTATGGTGTATTTTTTTTCCCTCCCCCTGCCCCCGTATTTGTATTCCTTTGATTGTTGTCTGTTTGTTATATAATTAGAAGAAGAAGATTCTAAGGACATCTGCACAGGCACTGAACAATCGCATTAGTGTGAATTACAGATACCACAATGAAGAAACAGATATTCACATCATTAAGCTACATAAATCAATTCATTCTCATGAACTGTAGTTTTCTCCCATAGTCTAGATCCTCTGTTTATTAAAAACAGTGATTATATTTATTATTGAAAATGAGCATATATTTGACAATAGCTATAAAACATTCACTAAGTTGAATGTTTCACTAAAAGATGTAAAAAATCCATAACTAAAAAGTTTATTTTACTATATTATAGTGGTTATACTTTATGCCAATCTAAACAGCATTTTCTAAAATCTTGAGGTGAGGGGTGCATGATGAATTTAATTTTACTAAAGTAAATATTCTGCCTGACCTTTCCAGATTCACCAGCTCCATTGCACAGATATTCCTTATGCCTAATACTAAACATCTCTGCCATTTAATTTCAGACTTCAAGGAAGGATTGCACTTGTCATAGACACATCAAAACCTGAAATGAAATTTACTCAGAGGATCTGGTTCAATTAAGAAATGAAAATTAAATCCTTGTTTTACTGATTTGTGAATCAACTACCAGTTAAAAATCAGAGCTGCACCAAAGAATAAAAGGGCAATGTATAATTAAAATAACTCAATAGGTTTTTTTAAACCCTCTCTAGGGCAATCTATCTGTAAATGAAATGTAATCTTAATTAATCAAAAAACATGAGTTGAGCTGAATGTTGGTGACTTTTAATAGCAGAATTTTGGGGGGGGGGAAGATAGGAGAAAGTCATCATTTGCCTCATGATGGGCAAACAAATACAGAAAAGGAAAACAGTATATATTTTTGCCTTGTACCTGGTCATGATCAAGATCTGCATCTCCAGTAATAACAATCCGTTTTTCAATTCTGGTTTCTGACACACCACCTTTTATTGTCTACAGGATTCACAAGAGAGAGAAAACGTATTACTGCATTATTTGTCCAGTGCAATGTGGAAAGATTCCAAGTAGTACAAAGTGATTCCTACATAGCCTCACTCACAGCTAGCAGTAATATAATGCAGCAGGAATGGGATAGGATGTTCACAATATGATGAGTACACAATTTGGCCAAGCAGGAATACCCATCCATTTTGGTGCCTTTGTTACATGATGAGAAGGCTATATCTTGCTTCTCAATGCCAAATTATTACATCTGTTTCCTATGTTTTCTTTACCCTATCAGAATGTATCTTCTAGAACTATTTCTGTTATATCTACTGTCATCTGTGCTACAATTATTCAAGACAAAAATTATACCCCACATCTCTATGGTTCCCAAATATGTGAGCACTCCAACATGCATCCCCTTGAGCTGGTACAGACAAAATTCTTGAGGGCTGTTTTTGCAGTTCTCTCATGCATTGCCAACAGAACACTGAGATTGGTGGCAGGGTTAGTTTCTATTAGAGCACAGGCAAAGATTCAGATGCTCAATTATTGGTTAATTTTTTGCCCTGTAAGTTTGGCACCATTGATATTATTAGACACTTTCTACCTGGAATGGAAGTGTTTCCAGAGTATGGAATTGACTCAGATAGGTTTTTCTCCCAGTGTTCTTGTAACAATGGGTTATGCAAATGCTAAAGCAGTTAGAAAACAAAGGATTCACGATATAGAACTACAAGAACACTTAGGCTTGCTGGACAAACTAAGTGCAGTAAGAAATGGAAACTTTAAACCTACTATTTGTCCAATTTAACACTCCCTAAGTTTAGAAGAACCTTCACTCTAGCGAGATTCAATCTCCTTCCCTCCCTAAACTTTTAGAAGGATGATTTCAAGGTATCCCCCCACTGAATGTTTATGTCCCTGTAATGGGGAAGAGACTGAATCTGTAGGACATGTTTTGTTACACTGCTCATTTTATCAAGACCTGCAAAGGTCTTTTCTACTGTCCATTCTACAGACATTTCCTGGGAGAAATACAAATTTCTATATAACTTTGCTGCTTTCAGACAAAGTCCCAGCCGTTACTCTACAAGTGGCTAAATATTGTGCTGATGTAATATCATACTGTAGCCTACTATCATTGTGAGGCTACTGGTTGCCCCAGCCTAATGTTATAAAAATGAACCTTCAATGATGCAATAATGGCTTTTGGCCTCTCTTTAATCTGTGCTTACTACGTTATTAGATGTCTTAAATGAAGATGTTAACATAATAATAATAATAATAATTTATTGTCATTGTAAGTATATACATATATACATGGAAGTTAATGTTTTAAAATGGATCACCTGCTTTTTAGAGATTATGAAATTATATTTTAATTGTAATGTATTTTAATTGCAATATATTGCTTGTTGGTCTTTGACTGTAAATAAACAATTTATTGATTGACTGTATATCCATCATTCATTGCACTCACCCACACATTTTACTCAACAGGACTTTGGGACTATCCCATCATGACGAAAGCTAGGATGCATTCATCATGTGCAAATCATAAAATATGGAAGCCACTAAAAATGCCTTAAGCAGCACTGTATCCACCCTTTAAAGTATATAAAACTGAGCAGGATTTTCTGCAAGCATTGTTGTTCTTTCTACTAATATGCCTCTTGAAATAGGGGAGATCATGCAGAATACCGGGCAGCATGCATGCCATAAGTTCCTGAATGCCTTTCACATGCTAGACATTCAGAAATTTTCATGTGCAATGTACAAAACAAAACCCCTCTACCTAAGAATGTTCTCTGCCATGTGTGAAAAGTATTTCACAGGTAAAAGAGTAAGATTAGCTTTCTGATCCAGCTTCCATTCCAGACACTGAGAATAAATATGTATTTAGCCTCTGGCTTCCTAACCAGGGATGTTTAACTATATTTGGGGAGATATATCTTTCTTATCTGCATGTCCTCTTTCACCATCAAGAGTAGAGATGACTAGACAAATAATAAGAGGAGCTTTCCTAACAGGTGAGTGGTTTTTATTTTGGTCCCTGAGAATTAATCTATGGCGGGATTAACATAAATAAGGCCTAAAACATATAATGAAAAAAAATCACTATAAAAGAAATCCACTAACAGCAAGAACTTTCTCCAGTTCAAGATCAGCCAGGGAATTGCAGCTTTGAGTTCCAATTTATTCAAGTGACAAGTTGCTCTCTCTTAAGAGATGGGAGTCATGGCTTCTAATTTATAGATCTAGACTACTTCAGTGGGTTTTCTGATTGGGTCAATATCCTAGCACAACCCTTTCCTTTTTGAAGTTAAGCTTCTAGTTGGTGATTATGTGCTATTTTACTTTATTCATTATATACAGACCACACTTTCATTTCAGTCTGATTTTAAGTCTTTATGCTAATTTAATATTATTATTGTGAAATGTTTCACAAGTATTTGTAAACAACAGTATAACATTTTCAATTTTCTAAATCAATAAACTACCGTCAGAAAGAACTAACACTTACATCCTTATATTTAAACTGGTGATCAAGAAGCATGCCTGTAATGGATCACAGGAAAGACAGAAAACCCTTTTGCAGTTCTACTAGCATTCACAACCCAATAAGAATTACCAAGATCAGTATTAATAAATAAACAGTACTACAGTGAGGCCAGAATCCCATGGTGCATTTCCACTGAAATCAAGGCTTCGCACTAGTGGAGATGCCCAATCCTCCACTCATGCAATCTCCAAAATACTGTAAAAATGGACTCTAGAGAGCTGAAAATCCTCCCAAGCTGTTTTTTTGTTACTGTGGAAGGACAAGAACAAACTTCCAATGTTCCATAGGGATGAACAACATGTACAGCCTAAACATCACTATTTCTATTCCATTACAGACTACAATCTGGAGTAGCACACAAAGAACTTCATGGTTGTGATTTGTGGGCATGTATCTACAAGGGCATAGTCAAGCAAGGAGCACACAACTAAGTGATAACAATGCACATGTATTAGCTTATACAAATTGCATTTACTCAAGCCATAATTAAAGTAAATAGCTAGTAGGACAACAATGAAACTTCAAGGATTAAAAAAACAGCTGAGTCACAGCTTAAGCTTCTAAATAGATCCATCAACTTTTTTCCAATATAGTACAATCTTCAGAAGCCATTTTGATTTTTGAAAATAATTTCTATTAGGAGAAAATAAACTATTTTATCTGATTTACCTTGGTAATGTGTGTAGTTGTGGTTGTAGAAACAGATTCTGAAGTGATTGTCTGTGCACTTAACAATACACCAGCATCACCACTGCCATCAAACTGCATAATCAAGAAAAAGAAGAAGAAAAGGCAAGATTTAAGTTCGTATTTCTTTAAGTAGAGTATCTTTAAAATATTAAAAACAAAATTTGTTCCTCAAGTTAGCAGGATTTCAGCCACTGAGTCAGACCTTTGCTTACATCATCAACTCCTTAGTCCCTACTTCTCTGATAAAAATCACAATACCCAGGAGGCTCAGGTAACAGGTCTAGTGTTGTCCAGTAGTTAAACCATACCATCTGTCCACCCATTTGTTTTTAATGTTGCTCTATGATCTATGTAGTGGCTGGAGAAGTTGGAGGAAGCTAACTGAATCTAACTAAAGCTATAAAGTTAAAATAAACTTGACAGAGAGGGGGAACCAGAGCTAATGGTGTGTCTTACCCCCAGCTTGTAAATCTAAACTATTAAAGTGGCAAAAAGCCTGATAATAATAAAAGCAGAAAACTAGCAGGGATTGGGGGCATCTATTATGCTGGAGATGTTTGACAATCTGCTTGAAAAAAATTATGGGCAAGTGTTCAGGGCACTGAGCTTTTGCCTTTTAGATATTATGAATTATTAGTATCTGTACCTGGGGAGATTCATATGTAATAGTTTTAGTCTCTGTCTGAACAATTGGTACTTCCTTGGTGGATATTTCAGTTCTCTGTGAAGCATCTGAAATGGTCACCATCTCAGTTTTAACCACTGGAGGCTGGTGTTCAGAAAGACATAGAAGATGTAAATTCAGAAACCATAAAAAGGTAAAGCATATTGTATTCGCGAAGGCTTTCACGGCCGGGATCTAATGGTTGTTGTGGGGTTTTTGGGCTCTTTGGCCGTGTTCTGAAGGTTGTTCTTCCTAACGTTTTGCCAGTCTCTGTGGCCAGCATCTTCAGAGGCCAGCACAAAGAGCCCGAAGAACCCACAACAACCAGTAAAGCATATTATATATAGCAGTCTGCCAAAAAGCTTCAAGCCATAAAATACCAATTTTATGACACAAGGCTTTCAACTTCTAAACTCAAACATTAATATGAAAATCAAGAAAGAAGCATCAGTTTCTGGCCCATTAAATGCAGACCATTTAAAAACCACCTGAAGATTTTCCATATTTTGAATTTTACTATGGCACATACTAAAATGGCTAATAAATCTTAACATACAAATTAGATTCAAAGCATTTAAAGATTTGAACAGCTATACAATGCATCTTGTACCAACTAAACATGTAGCATATGGAACATTCCATTAGAATGGGGTCTGAAGGGTATCTATGTGGTTCCTCAATACAACAGTTATCTCTCTGCCACTTCTAAAGCAAGGTTCAATCAAACAAAATTTATTAAGACACCCTAAAGATGCTACCCCAAATGGAATTGTGTACAGTTCTCTCTCTCTCTCTCTCTCTCTCTCTCTCTCTCTCTCTCTCTCTCTCTCTCTCACACACAACACACGCTGCATTGTTCTATATCAGTGATGGGAAACATGCTCTCCAGATATGATTCCACTTCAGCTCACAACCTCTGGTTGTGCCAACTAGGGTTGATGAGAATTGCAATCCTGCAACATCTGGAAGGCTGCATGTTCTCCTTCTTGTTTGCTAATGCTGTTGAAACAGAACTAATCTTGCATCTGTGCACAAGGCTAGCCTAGACGACTTTATTTAACATTACAGTTATGCCACTCCTACAGCTTATAAACCAGTAGGCAGAAATGCATTCTACCATCTCACTCTAAGGAAAGCACCTCCACATACCTATTCCTAGCTGGATTACAAACTGCACAAGCAAATGTTTGCTGCCCATGTGGTTTCTCACCCAACCCCGCTGCTGTGTCCACCAGTCCTCAAAAAGACAATTGCAATAGGACAGATTATGGTTTTTAGGAAGTGTTGGGGGAGATTCCTTCCTACTTTTTTTTTAAAGGATTACTGGCACAAGTGCTGTTTGACAGGGACACACTGACATATAGCTGGAATGGAACATTTGAGCTGCCTTTACTTCCCACCTTTCAGAAGAGCCAGTATGCTGTATGTTCCAAGATCAACTTAATTTGGGTTAGCATCTTTTACAATGCATCTATGCCTTTTGAGCAGCCATTCTCAACGAGGGCCATATGGTCCCTGGGGGGGGGGGGTTGCTGGCACATTTGGAAGGAGCCACAGACTGGAAACAATTCTTCATGCACCACCTTATACGGTTTATCATTTACGTATACAATCCTGATTTGGTCTCTATTTCTTTCATACTGTGTTTATGGCCACAGCAAAAAAAAAAAAAAAAAAAAAAGGCTGCGAATAGCTGCTCTTAAAGGACTGCATATAACTAGTATAAAATAAGAATTATATCTTGAAAGGACATTGACTAAAAGCAGTATGCTATGGCAATTATGACTGCATTCATCAATGTGCTATGTAGTATTACATTGATTATACATTCTAACAATTGCTGGATAAGTGTTTCTGTAAGCAAAATTAAGTATCTAGGGTAAGATGGCAAACAAAGTCAAAGGGTTTTTAAGAAGAATATTGCATATGACATGTTTCGGCTATGTTTACCTCAGGCACAAGATAGGTAACATTCTCATGATTCCAATTACTATAGATCCATAGAAGACTAACAAACTAGACAGGACAAGACTCAAACAAAGTAACAATGGTAATCACAACATGGAAAACTTAAAAAGAAGATGGCATAATCCTAGGTAAATTCACTTTTTTGGGGAACCAAAATAAATGTAGCAAAAATTCTGAAACTATAGCTGAAGGCAGAATTTGACTGCACATAATTTTCCCCCTTCCACATCTGAATTGATTTGAAAACTTGGAGAGGACAGAGAAGAAGAAAGGCAGAGATATTTCACCCTATGATGAAGTCTAGGGTCCCTTCCTCTTCTACCATTTACCTCAGAGCAACAAATTATCTGTGGTGAAACATCGATGTCAATATGCGATGCCTCTCCATTTACTTTGAGCTGCTCTTCCTTGTTTTCTTCTATCTGGCCTTTCTCATCCAATTTTGGTAGGTATGTCTCTCCCGAAGTCTTTGAGGATACTTCATTTGCCTGAATCAAAGCTTCTCTCACTTGTATAGGCTCAACTGTTACTTTAACTGGGCAGATTTCTTGTGAGATTTCCACACACGTTTCTCCCTCTGTCTTGTGCTTCTCCTCTTCTTCTCTGAAAGCTTCATTTTCTTCTAGTTCTTCTTTTATAGTATCTTGCGTCATCCGTTGGTGTGGCCGGTATTCTCCTGATTCATCTTCACTCTCACTACTGCTGCTATTTGATGACAATGATGAAGAGTCTTTTTTTGATAGATGCTCCTTCTTCTGAATTTCCCCACCACCAAAGACAACTTGTATTTTGCCCCTGTTGATATCATCTGTGACTAGTGTCTCTTCTATCCCAACCTCTGCCTGCTTCTTCTCCACTACGTTCAGAGTCTCATGCGAACTCTGCACAAAACAAATGGATGAGGAAAAACAAAAAGCAGAACATATGAATAAACAAAATAATGAACATAAAACTAGGAAATGGGTGGTTCAGGTCACATGAAGAACAATGATGGCTGCAATGGTTTAAAGGGGGGAAAGCAAATGAAAGAAGAATGAAGAATCTGAAATGTCAAAGCTCAATGAACTATGACAAAATAATAGAACCTTAATAGCCTTGCTGGTTCCAATGGAGAGCTCTTCTGTTTGGGGAGTAAATTTCTGTGGAACAAAAAAACCAACCAGAAGATACATATAAATACAAGTTTCTACACTTGTTGAGACAAACATGTGACTTTAGCATGTCACAAACAGCACAAAAGGACTGATTACATACATACTTATAGCATAGTTTTGTTAAATTAGCACAAAAATAAGCACAAAGAATTTAATAGTATGTTGGAGCCAAACTGCATGATACATAGAGAAGTCTCAATAATTTCAGCAAGATCACAGTTAACCATGACTTACAACCAATGCCATATGTACTAAATATGACTAAGTGTGAATGCCACTGAACATTTGTAGCCTGGAGTGCTGAAAATATGCCCCAACAACCCCCCCAGACTTCAATGCATTCCAATGGGGAACCGCGTTTCGCAAGATGATGTTTTCGCAAGACAGCGTTTTTCGCAGAACGAATTAACATTGTCTTGCGAGGCACCACTGTAAACTATTATCAAAAACAATCTAGTTAATATTAATAGTTAAGAGCACCAAAAAATTAAAGCAACAGTTCCATAGCACATGGAGAACATTTTTTTCTCACCAACTTGTTCTATAAAAATATTCCCAGGTCTGAAAAGAATGCTATAAAATCTGTCAGGTGTTCCTGACAAAGATGTTTTTTCTAGTACTAAAACATCTGATAAGTCCTTCACAGTAGTGATTGCTATATCATAATAATTAGCTGGCCTGTCAAGGATATATTAAATTTTCCCATAGAAGTATAAAGTATCAAATAGAGCAGTATAAGCACATAATGTTTATGGATATCAGCATATAAAAATCAAGTGAAAGATTTCCTATACTGCTAAATTAAAAGAAACTGATACTGGATTTGCTGTAACCTATGTCCAAGACCAACTGAAGAAGAGTTTAAAAGCTGCAGAAAGACAGGAGTGATAATATAAAAAACAGAAAAGGGAACAGACAAGAAAAAAGGAAAAGGAAAGACAATCAAGCAACCTATTTTTTGCCTAACACAGCACTGATGACAAAATGGGAAATTTGGATGTCACAAAGTAGAAGCGTGTAAGATACCAGTTAACAGATACTTTCAAATGTAAGTTGAATAAAAAAGCACAGATATGAAAACAAGAGGAAGGACTATTGCTTTGGAAGATCTGTCTCTAAGAAACATTTTGAGTTATGGTGAGATAATTTTATTTTGATTTTCAATTTTTTTTCTAAAAAATAATTTTAATTCTAACTTTTCAATTGGCTATTATAAGACTGATTTTGAAAAACTGCAGTAAAGTGCTCTATCTCAACTGCATACATAGAGGCAACTCCATCACTGGAGTTAAGAAGACAGCATATTCAAATAGGAACTTAACATGTGTATCAGAACTTGAACAGTTTTTTAATTTGGGGTTTATATTGCTATCTGTCCTAATTCTCTTTTATGGAAAAGTGACTTAATTTTATATGTTACAGAATTCCTCCCCCTGCTTCATATATGGCCTTATATCCGAAAAAAGTAAACATGGAAAAAGCACCTCAGGCAGCTGAGAGAAGGGCGACGCAGAAAGCTTTTCAGAAGATACATTATGTTTCACAACAGTGCCCTCTGCTGTCCACGAGGTAGCTGAAGTGAAGGCAGATGTCATGCTAGTGGGAAACCCCTCTTTATTAAATAAAATGGATGCTATCTCCTCTTCTAGGCTCTAAACAAGTTAGAAAATGAAAGCAACAAATTAACAGCAGAAGACAAAACAGCAGTGACCTACAAAGGAAACATCAGGCAAGAAAAGAAAGGACATGCAAGGTAGAAAAAAGCACACTGAAAATGACAGTACATTTAGATGTATAAAGGATGTTGTCTATGACAAAAAGACTTTAAAATGACCACATTTAGTACCACTGTCTGTCTTGCTTATCTTACCATGTACATTTTAAATTGAAACCTGCCCCCCCCCAAAAAAACCCAACTGATGGGTCTGCTGGGTACCACAGCTATCAAAATTTGATTTCATTTTCAGACTTCTATTTCAGAACGAATTCAGATTTTATTTATAAATATTTTGCTTTTCACACAATATTAATTACAAAAGAAGAGGCAAGCTAAACAATGTATTTAAAGTTTAAGTAATAAACCTGCAGTTTAAGCAATAAACCTATGAGCTAATCTGATTTTGTTTCCCTTTAATTTTGGAGGGCTAAATGTTGTTGGACAGGAAAGTGAGTTAGGTATCTGGCTGCAGAACACAGAGCTTGGCAGACAGTCAGCCTGTGTGTACTTGGGCAAGCTGCACCACCTCAGAGTGCCCCCTAAGGAAGGAAATTCTAAACCAATTCTGTGTATACCTAGAAAACTCTTGAAAAGGTCACCAGAAGTCACGTGATTAGTCATGTTTATTTATTTATTTATTTATTTATTTGATTTATACCCCACCTATCTGAACCAGTGTACCACTGTTAGGGCAAACTATACATTATATGCAAATAAGTATACTTAGCTCACCTCAATGGCTTTTTAACAACATCTCAAAAGTTTTTAATATTTCTTTCTCTTCAGAGCACTCCAAATGCCTTCAATCACTGTGGTTTTTACAAAGGCCTAGAAACAGAATTTACTAATGCTACCATTATGTTAATATATAAGAGTTATATTGAAGTGGTCTGTCAGTTACTACACGGTTGTATGTAGGATAAGTGGGGGTAGGGGAGGAAATATGAGAAAGAATACCTAAAACATATAGCACAGCTTTAAATCCTTTAGATCAGCGGTTCTTAACCTTGGGTTAGTCAGGTGTTTTTGAACTGCAACTCCCAGAAACCCCAGCCAGCACAGCTGGTGGTGAAGGCTTCTGGGAGTTGCAGTCCAAAAACACCTGAGTAACCCAACGTTAAGAACCTCTGCTGAATTAAGTCACTCTGTCAATTCTGTCTGTTCTACTTATTTAAATGTCAGGATATCATCTGTTGTACTGATTTAAATTCTCTACTATACAGGTATTGCATAAAGAAGCAAATTTAAACTTCTTTCACACTAGGAGTAATACAACTGAAAATATAAACGGTAATTAAAAGCATGCATAGATACTGTGTATTAGACTGTGTTTTTAAATCCTTATTACTAAATGCAGGAGATTAGAACGATTAGAAATTGCTGGCTATCCTTTGAAAATGGAGGATATTTAGAAGGATCTTGGTTTCCTCAATGTTATTGATTTCAAGAAAAACTCTTATATCAGTATATATTCAAGGAAACCTGAAGCTCAATGTATGGAGAGATCAGTTGGGACTTCTTGTATTTGCTCAAGTAGTTTGTGCATGACATACATACTGTGCTGGCTATAACCTTTTAAAAGAAGAATCTTGCTAGTATATTTTTGTATTTTACTTTGTATTTTACTGCTCTTAGATGCACTGAATGCAATCTAGTACACAGATATGATACAAATTTAATAAATAAATAATAAAGTAACTACAAAACAGATAACCACAGAGTGAAAAGGTTTTGGGAGGGAATATTCAGCAAAGCAGCGTTTTAAGTAACTTTATCTGCAATTTTTTATGTTCTTCTGATAACTTGTCATCCTTTTTTATCCAGTGCACCCAGATCCACTTGTCACATGTTTTTAATATTTGTCCTAGGAATTTTGTAATTTCAACAATCAGTCATGGAGAATGAAAACAAATCAGGTAAAAAGATGCACAAAAGCATGATACAGACGGTCCTAAGAGCAGAATGTACAACTCTGAGAAAGAAAGAGAAGCAAAGAAGTATGTGTAACTGCACTGAAATCCTATATTACCACTTCACAAAGCAAATTCGAAGACTTGTGGCTCATATAATGCACTTTATACTAGGAAGACTGAGATAATGAAATGCTTGCTTTTCTGGTACATCTAGGAACCAAAAAGTACAGTGGGGTCTCTACTTAAGAACTTAATCCGTATTGGAAGGTGGTTCTCAAGTTGAAAAGTTCTTATGTTGAATCTGCATTTCCCATAGGAATGCATTGAAAACTATTTAATCCGTATCTGCTCTTTTCCGTCCATAGAAACTACAGTGGAACCTCTACTTAAGAACTTAATCCATTTTGGAATGGTGTTCTTAAGTTGAAACGTTCTTAAGTTGAAGCAAGATTTCCCATAGGAATGGACTGAAAACCAATTAATCCGTTCTGGCTGTTTTTTTGTTATGTAGAGGTGCGTTCGTACATTGAAGCATTAGTTCCCATAGGAACTAATGGAAAGCTGGTTAATGCGTACTCTACCACTAGGGGGAGAATTTTTTTTAACCTAAGATGACCTAAGGTTAAAAAAAGAGCAGGAAAGGTTTTTTTTCCTGTTCTTATCTTGGATTTCTGTTGTCAAGTAGAAGCAAAATTTAGCAAATGGAGCTGTTCTTAAGTTGGATTGTTCTTAGGTAGAGACGTTCTTAAGTAGAGACCCCACTGTAAATCTCAACAGACTCCCTATGCGTTAGACAAAACCTTGTACACTTACTGAGTAGCTATTTGTCTCAAAGTGCAAGATGGAGCAAATATCTACCTAATTCTCTACACCAAGCTTATTTCTGTACCAGACCTTACTTATGCTATAGTATAAAGGTACCATAAGTACACATTACTTATCTATATCATGCCACCAATACGGCTGGTTGGGAAGTACTGAAAAAACCCATATTATAAAAAATATCAAATATTTAAACTTCAAAAGTTTAAATATCTGATAATAATTAATGCCCTAGTAAGGTAAGTATGGTTACTCAGAAGCATTTTCAAGATTATTGGGTTAAAAATAATCTGTTAAGGTAGTATGTACTGTAAATATGCAGCGCAACGTATCACTCTAAATACCCTTAGAAAATGTATGAATTACTTTTCCTATACACACAAAACCCTAAGAGGAACTCTATAAAGGCACTGGACAAAATGTAAATGTTACTCCTGTAAACTAGTAAATCTCTTAAGCATTTGAAAAATGGTAATCCCTCATGCAGTCTGTGCCTTTTGACAGGTTGTCCACTGCACAACTAATTTTGGGACCTATGTATAAGCAGTTGCCCCAAAGAAACCATGTGGGAGGCTGCAAACCACTTGCATGATTACTGTTGCCCTAGTAGTTTCTTCAACAGGATTCTGGCCTGTGGAAAAATTAAATCACTTGGGGAATGTAAGGAAATACATTCAGAAGTATACTGCAGTTAATATTCCATATCCTTTATACACGACAGTATTCTTAGTAACACTCTATTTATTGCTTCCTTGGTATTTGTGAATTAAAAGGAACATATGCAAACAATGTTAATGGGTGTTAACTGCAAATTTTGTATTAGTAGACCAAAAATATCACATATTTTCCTTGTTAGTATTGAAATACATAGTCAAAATCTTTATGACAATTTATGCATGTGTTAAATTAACCTGCATCACTTACTGCAGCAAAATGTCACTGACGAATGGTCACATGACAAGACACATGCCCAATCGAACAAGAGACACAAGTCAAATAATGTGACTACTGCCTTGTTAGTGGCAGTTAGCCACAGTGAGTCACACAATTTAACTTACACATGTGTAAATTAGCAACAGGATTCTAGCCAATATATACTTAAACTATTTTCTTAACTCCATGGCTACACATGCTGATAAGTGTTTTCAGTGACATACCCCTTGTGTCTGTAGAGACAGAGGTGTGATACGGCGTTTTTCCCACTCACTGGGGCGTGGCTCAGGAGTAGATTCCATAAAATTGCGCTTGAGTTCACTAATGCTAGCCTGATGCTTCAGTAATTCATCCTGGGTCTTATCCAGGTCCTAGCAATGTTTAATGTAAAAAGAGTAGGACAATATATGACAAACACCAATCATTAAAACATACACATACCAAGAAAAAGTGCCTGGAATTTGAAGTTTCAGATTAAAATTTGTTAATTAAATGTTACATTAGACAGAGAGTATGCATCTCTATTGTACTAATTAAATGAATGCAATAGTTTTTAAAAATTTGGCATGACATGACTAATATTTTATTGATTTTGTCCGCAAGTTGAAATAAAGTGAAAATGTGGCATTCCCATATGAGAACTGGCATTATGTATGCATCATTTTAAAAATTAGCATAATACTACAGCACTTAGTTACAAGGAAGAAACAAAGTGGAATTTATAAGAAAAATGTTTTGAACAGGTATACTCTGCCATATGTTTTGTTTTCCCAAGGACCCTTATGCTAATGGCTATATCAGAAATCAATGCAACAGAACAGGGGACACAGATTTATGTAGATTTACATAGCATAATAAATTCTATTTAATCCAGGACACCTACTGTGCAGCTTCTGTTCAAGCCACAGAAGTCTGGCACAATTCTGGTTGAAAATGAACATATCAGTGCAGTCACCAGCACTCACAAAGTGATGCTGCATATTTTGAACTTTAATTATACACTAGACATTAAAATCAATTAGAACACTTGCTCTTTTTATTACTTGATACTACAAATACATCTACCGCTAAGACACACTGCAGAATAGAGCAGTGGATTAAAGGGTACCTGTGGGTGAAAGCTGACCAGGTCACACAGTATTAGGAGGAAGGGCAACAATGCACTACAGCAGTGGTTCCCAACCTTGGGTTCCCAAATGTTCTTGGATTAAAACTCCCGGAAGCATTCACCACTAGCTGTGCCAGAGAGATCAATACAGTCTACAACATTCAGGACCATCAAAAATCTAAGTGGTGTTGCTTCATCATTTATTTACGGTAATTAATATTATGAAAAGTGAGACAGTTTAGGCTTTCTGTTCAGCTACTGTTCTTTTTATATTAGGCTGCCTTATGAAGTACCTTTTAAATGATGTGTTAATAATGGCAGATATGCAGCTTTATGTCTATGGTGGGGTGGAACCCACTTTGCAAGTAATTTTAGCAGACATTACCTGAATGCACTTTACATCTGATTTGTCTTAGGTCTACTGATATAGCAAATATGTGCCACTGTGCCTGGCATCTAAGTTAATTCTCTCAAATTCAAATTCATTTTCAACATTTTATTATTCTTGAGGCAGCAATGAAGCCTTGCTGTCAACAGGTCATGTGTTAGGCAGGATTGGTGGACCCAGTATGTGAAGGAAGAAGGGACAAACAGATCGGAAACGGAGACAGAAAGTGAGTGAAAGGAAAGAAATGAAGTGCCCGGGAGATAGAAAAGAATCCACAGTTAAACTGCACTGTTGGTGACAGATGGATATTTGTCCAAAATCTATTGGCCGATGGGGAGAAATCAGTGCTATGTGTATGTTTTTAAAAAGAGAAATCCTTGCCTGCAGCCTTTGTGGCAAAATTAGCTATGCAACTGTAAATGTAAAGCTACTCCAAGTAACAACTGCACTTTTAGTGGGAAACCTAGGTTATGAAAACTTAACCAACTGGCATAAATTTGTCACTGCTTGAATTAATATAAAATTTTCAAAAACAATGTTGGAGCTAGACCAGGCACATTTCTTGGATTTCTTCAATGCAATGTTACAAGGTGCTCTTTAATATGTTTTAGTAGAATTATGTCATGTATATACTCAGTTATCAGAAGCTGCCAAAAAGCAACAGAGCATATTAGTAAGGTTACCTTAAATCTGTATCTTGGCACATCATATTCTTACACATACATAAAGTATTGAGATGATCTAACTCTAACAGTGGGAATAGCCCTATTTAGATGACAGTAGTGTCCTTTTGTTTACAGTATGCTGCAATACCTAAACTATATTTATTTACAGATTAAGTTGGTCAAAGACTACAGTATTTACAGCTTCATCTAAAAACACTTATCAAACAGTTCTTCCTGTTATCATGAATACTGCTTCATGGTAAAAATTATGTTAACACATAATTACATTCAGCATTTTAGGAACACCATATTATCCAAAATTTTAAAATCATAACTTCCTGCTTCTAATGCAACTGCTTAATTTTCCAGTTCTGTATAGGAAATGCAAAAAGAAACATGAAGTGTAATTCTCAAAGAGGTTGCCATGTCAGTCTGCTTCAAATTATCCAAAAAATAATAAAAAATTAAAAAAGAGGGGGAGAACTCTAAGACTAAAAAGAATCATTTGAGTATGAGCTTTTGTAGACTAAAATTCAGTTCCAATTGAGTTATCTGTATCTTAGGAAGCTCATTGTCTTAAAAGGTGCCTTGAGTCATTTTCTTTCATTCTGCATGCAGTATAATACATTTTAAATTCTAGATGGTGCAAACATAAAGCTATACAGGTTGAACATTTTCTGGAAATGTTAACATCTAAACAGGGCTATAAGTCCCACTTGTTTCTACAGCATGTTTTTAACTGTTGCACACCTAAACAGATTCATTCATAGTGGCTAAGATTTTCAACATGCATTTTCAAGTTGAATATCCCCATGCATATCATGCACCGTGCCTAAAACAGCCTGCAAGTGATCTCCCCTCTCATGCAGCTTAGCAGCCCATGAGAACCAGAAAGTACTCCTTATGTCATACAAACCTCCAACATTAAATTGCTATGTCTGACATAAATATTTTCCCCATCTACTCTCAAGGAATACATCTGTGAAATTAAAGCACACACAAGAAGAGACAAGGAAAAAAAACAACAAACCATGATCATCAAAACCACCAAAAAGTGCTTAAAAGGTCAATAAACAAGCATGACAGCTAAGCAAACATAAGCTACAAGAGCCTCAAGCACTGACAATGGCAGGCAACAATCAGGTTTAATTGAAAATATCATCCACCTTCTTGTGAATGTCTTCTTCTGTCTCCGTCTATGTAATGGAACCATGCAAAGGTCAGCAAAAGAAAACACTTGTTAGTGGAAGCTACTGAAGCAGCAGAGGCTTTGCTTAAAAATACTGCAAACAGCAATGTGCTCTATTTACAAACCTTTCTTGTTTGGCCTCAGATGCTGCTCAAGTTATTAAACCACTGCCGTCTTCCACCTACAGCACTGAGAAATGGCTGAAGCAATTTTTGGTAAAGATGAAATGGAAAATGGAAGATCTGTCTGTCTCTCTACAACCCTCATGTTGAAGTTTGATTTTCTTTGTAGTTAGGAAGATTTTTTGAAAATATATGATAAGGAGAATAGCTTCAGTTGTGATTGTTCAAAGTGGGCCATTGTGATAGCAATGTAGTTAGAATAAAGTGTGCAGTACAAGTTTAATGCTTCTGATTATTTCAGAAAAAAATTGTGATATGCTTAAAGATAACACAGACCATTTGAGAAACACTGCTGAAATTTCCCCAAGAGTACTGCAAATAAACAGATATATTTTACAGGGATAAATCAGATACATCAAACTATGGCTTAGGGCTTTATGAATGAATATTGTGCTTTTGCAGCTTCCCTTCCTCTCATACTGTATGCTTCAGTTTGATAAATTACTTCCACTTAACAGAAGCTGTGGTTTAAACATTCTCTCCTCTCCTCACTGTATAACCAGAAGGAGCAATGTAGATACTTTGAGTTACCCATATTTTGCTATGTCATATAAGCAAAAACTGGTAATTTTTGTAAGCATAGTTTAAACAAGCCACCCTCACAAATTGTTTGTGCAAGATGATGTAACAGGGAGTTTACAAAGTTAAGGATGAGGCACACTCATATTCTGCTATTCCACAGTTTCATGTGGAATCTAAACACAGGCAAGGATTGACAGTATTCTTTCAGTGTTTTTCCACTATAAATGTTTCCCATCTTATTGTTTGTTTTCATTCAAGAATGATGCAGCCATTTTTGTCTAAGACTTATACTTTTTAAGTTAGCTATAGACGTCAGACGTTAATATTCAAGATACAAGTTTTCTACTTTAAAATTTGCCTTAAAACTTGTTGGAAGTCTTATACTACACTATAATCCTACACAAACCAGGTAGTACTATCAGTCAAAGGAGAAAGTGAAACATCTATTAAGAGGCATCAGGATGTTTAACATAGAACCCTTTTCATTATTCTACAGAGTGTTTAAAAAAAATCATTGCTACCTGTGCTATAAAGATAAAGGAAAATATACTTTAAGCAACAATTTAAGCTGATGTGGAATTATGCATTTAACATTGACACCCAACATGGTAGAAAGAGGATCTGTCCAATTCCTAAGCCTTCATCTTCCTCTAGGGAGTGGAGTAAATAGAAATTTCAAAGAATTTCAGAGCAGGAACATAGCCCAATTTATATGCAAGTATAAACAATGACACATCGCTATGTGAATAAGAGTAAAACAAAACAAAACACTTTTATCCTTTTAAGAACTCTGTAAGGTGCCTTGATAGCTATCTTTTAGTGGAAATATGAACTATAAATGTAATTAACAAATGAATAAATAAGCTCACTCTTCCCCCTCTCCTCTTTTAGCACAGCTGTGAAGAGATCAGAAGGCTATTCTTATTTACAGTTGATGTTATATTTGAAACCCAAAACTGTATTTAATTTTAACAATGGTTAGGGGAGACAAGATAGCTTCATAAATCATAGTATGAAGTTGCTTGTTTCTGTACAGACAATATTGTGGCCCTTCAGATACTGTTGGATTCTGAATTCCCATCAGGTTTAGCCAGCTTCTGTTCTTCCACATGTAGCAAACCTGAAGAAGCTCAGGATTACCTTTTTTCTTTGAAACCATTGTAAGCCCCCCCTTTTTAAAAAAAGCTACAGTGTAGTTCATAGGTGTCCAATCATATAGCAGTTATGAGTCTACTAGTGTCCTTACAGCAGGGATGTGGTGGCGCTGCAGGTTAAACCACAGAAGCTTCTGTGCTGCAAGGTCAGAAGACCAGCAGTCATAAGATCGAATCCACACGACGGAGTGAGCTCCCGTCGCTAGTCCCAGCTCCTGCCAACCTAGCAGTTCAAAAGCATGTAAAATGCGAGTAGATAAATAGGTACCACCTCAGTGGGAAGGTAACGGTGTTCCGTGTCTAGTCACACTGGCCATATGACCACGGGAACTGTCTACAGACAAACACTGGCTCTACGGCTTGGAGACGGGGATGAGCACCGCGCCCTAGAATCGGACATGACTGGACTAAATGTCAAGGGGAACCTTTACCTTGTGTCCTTACATATTTTTAATTTAGGGGCTCAAAATGAAAGAAAAAATTTAACTTTTTAAAAGAATTCATCTGGAAGCAAAATATCAGACTGATAAAGCCATATGTATTTTAAAAACACTGCGGAATAATTTTGAAAACAAACAGAAACCTATGGCTCCATGTTTGAAGTTTGTAAGCTTGAATTTGTCTCTTCACACACCAAAACATCTCTGTGCAATAGTGGCATTTAGGCAACAATTCGACACACCTCATTTTCCTCAGCTTTGTCTTTTAGGGTAACATCTTTAGAGGTGCTTGGAGAATTTGCATTAGGTTCCAGGTAGCAGAGTGACAGAGCGACAGGAAGTGACAATGTGAGTGCAAACAGAACAGATTCAAAAGTAAGGAGTAGCAACACAAATATAGGAAGGAAGGAAGGAAGGAGGAAGGAAGGAAGGAAGGAAGGAAGGAAGGAAGGAAGGAAGGAAGGAAAGAGATGCATATCTCTGGAAGACTAGGGAAACTAATGTAACCATCCTCATCAAGCACAGAAGGGAAACTAAAAGGTAAACACTTGTTCAAACTAAATGGAAAATAAGCCACAATATCTTCATTATCAACATTTTTATGACTTTCTCCTTCAATTGGAATAGGAAGACAATGGCCAATCTTTAAGAGATTTGTAAGCTCTGGGCTGTAATTTAGGGACTTCTCTGCATTTCCTACATGGGTAGTTGTTTCTCTCTCATGACTACCATTCATGCTCTGTGAGGGTTTGTACATTGGTTTACCATAGTTGTCATGCTCAGACATGTCAGAAAGGACATCCATTTCAGGGATGGCACATAGATTTGGGGGACAGGATGAAACAAAGCCAGTATGATGTGAAACCTGATTTGCATATACAGGCTGACAGAAGAGAATGAAAGAAGTCTCATCACAGATGCAGATGAGATTGTGATAAAAATGCATATTTATGGAAGAAGGAATGCACAAGGGGGGAGGAAAAATTATTAGTGATAATATTAATTCAAAAGTAGGGACAGCATTGTAAGATTACAGCATGGATGCCACAAACATTCATAAGCCCCATTTCTTTTCAAAACATTCAATATGTAATGCAAATGTCTGACTTATATAAGGTCAACCAATTCTTTGCTGCTTCCTTGTAAGGCTATGAACAGCTTTTATTCTGAGACTATATTAGTGGAGACACAACAGATGCAAAGTGGACAGACATTCTAAGGTTTAAGCAGAAGACAGGCAAGAGAGAGAGAGCAGCGTGAGGACAGTGATTCAAGGTATAGATTTCATCCTGTTTTCCCTTCGAAAGACTGGAAACGTGAAGAAAAGTCCATTATTCAAAACTCATGTTTGAAGGATAGCTAGATATTTAGAAGCTGAAACACCTAACCATCAAAATACTGTACAAACATCCAATATCCCACAGATTATCTAGTGGATCACAACATAAAAAGTAGATTATATCAAGTGTTATGCTTTTACAGGTGATTTCATATGCTTTATGTTCCAAACATATGAGAATTAATTTATTTTATCATCTGATAAGATGGGAAGTGAAGATACATTCAAATGTCCAGCTCAACATACTGGACTTGAAGTGAACTCCCCTCTGCTTGTTTTCAAAGAAAATTAACTCTAAAACCCAATCTGAAACCTGCATCACACCTTGTTATGATTGTTTTTATTACATGGGTAAGACTATGAATAAGTCATAATAATGAATTAAACATTCAAGTTAGTCTTACACTCTCATGTAACTACGCAGAACTAGATAGAGGCAGACACTTTTAAAATGCATCTGTTTCAACTGTGCTTCACAGCAGATTACAAAATATGTTGCTCCAAAATGAGAATACGTGGTAACATACACTCCCTCCTAACTAGGAAAGGCTGTAGTCTCTCTGGCAGAAAGAAATTTTAGGAAGCTAACTTGTTCACCCCCTTTTTTCATCCAGCTGATCAGAGAAACAACAAACACAAAAAGTTGGAGGATCTTCCTGAAGTGTACTGTGGCACCTGAGGCTGAGGGGAAGTGGGACCCCCAAAATTGGGTGGTGGCAACATACACAATAATCTTCTCCCTCAGTCTACCACTTTCTGGAATTCTTGCTAGTTCAAGATTGGATGTCACTCTAGGAAATGTTATTTTCATGTAACCTGCCCTCTAGCAAAGTTCCACAGTTAAGTGCACAATTTCTCCCCAGTTTGTCCACTGTCCTGCTCTATTTGCTGGGTAATTCATTTAGTACAAAGAGCCATAATGTTATACTCTCACAACACAGCTTCACTACAGTTCATGTGACAGTCTGGTGTAGCAAATTTCCAAAATCTATTATTTCTACAAAACCATCTTCAGCTATCGTACCTTTCCACCTTCTAATTGTGGCATTTTAGCTATGCCTCCATCGACATCTCTATCTTCCCCGTCTTTTAGTCTGGACTGTTCAGCAGCTTCAAAGATCCTATCACCAGGAGATACCACTACTGTAGCTGGAATGTCCTTCAGCAAGCTCTGGTCAGTGACACTTAATGGAGCTACAAGAAAAGGCTTAATTAACTTAGCTATGCATCAGAGAAACATTTAACAGATCTTGATATTTATGGGGAAAAACAGACATTGGGTTTTTTTTAACAATTTTGTTGTGATCTGCTCTGATTGCCCACTACTGAAAACTAATAAGCCAGAAGAGCTACAAAATTTTGTTTTTAACAGAACATTGAGGAGTGAAAGGTATCTCTGAATAATGCAGGGGCTAGAATGTATTTTGGATGGAATGCTTTTTACCTATAGATATGTAAAAGTTTTGCACCTATAGCAAATGCTAATCTACATGTATAGTGATTGTGTATTAATAATCTGTACTATTGACAGAAATTTCAACACTCAGGTTTGTGGCAAATTTTGAGCTTTAACATTTTCAGAGAGGTAGCCATGCTAGTCTGCTATCACAAAACATCCAAGGAGTTTATGGGCACCTTAAAGATGAACACATTTTATTTGGCCTATGCTTTTGTGGACAATTGCCCACTATGTCAGATGCATAAGACAGAAATTTATAAAGTTTGGGGAAAGTGGGAAAATGAAATGTGATGAAAGTGCAAGAGTGCAGCATAGTGATGGTCACTCAGTGATTCTTAAGGGTCAATCAGAGTCCTTGGCAGGAGTGGCCATATGTCTCTCCTTTAAGAGCAGCCTTTCATTTAAAGAGTTCTTTGTTTTCATGATGTACAGTCATGGCCAAAAATATTGGCACCCTTCCAATTTTGTCAGAAATGCAACCCTTCTCTCAGAAAATTGTTGCAGTTGCAAATGTTTTGGTACTCACATGTTTATTTCTTTGGTTTGTGTTGGAACAACACGAAAAAACAGAAGAAAAGGACAAATTTGATACAATCCCACACAGAAACCTAAAAATGCTCTGGTCAATTATTGACACCCTGTCTAAATTGTAAGAAATAATTGCTTTTCAAGCATGTGATGCTCCTTTAATTTGTATTTAGACTCAACTATCACAAGTAAGAGGTGTGGGCAATATAGTAATCACACATGCAACTAGTTAAGATGGAGAAAAGATGACTCAACCTTTGGAGAGATCTCAAAACAGCAGTTGGGAGAAGATATCCTTCAAATCTGAAGGCCCTGGAGCAGTTTGCAAAAGAAGAGTGACCCAAAATTCCAGTAGAGAGGTGTAAGAAACTCATTCATGGTTACAGGAAGCAATTGATTTCAGTATTTTTTTTTCCAAAGGGGGTCCTATCAAATATTAAGTTAAAGGTGTCAATCATTTTGGCCAGTGCATTTTTGGGTTTCTGTGTGGGATTGTATCAGATTTGACTTTTCTTCTCTGTTTCTTGTGTTATTCCAATGCAAACCAAATAAATGAACACGTGAGTACCAAAACATTTGCAACTGCAACAATTTTCTGAGAGAAGAGTTGCATTTTCTGACAGAATTGCAAGGGTGCCAATATTTTTGGCCATGACTGTATGTCCTCTATTTTGGTGACATGTAAGTGGTCATCTAGCAACTGATAGACATCACAACAGTGGTCATTACGAGTCATTCTAAGGTCACTAGTGAGTGACAAGTACATTCAAGCATAGATAAGCAAATTAACACAAGTAAAATGAGAAATATTCTTTGTTTAAGTCCAGTATAATGGAACTGTGTCCTACTATTCCATTGCAATTGGTAGTAGAATTGAGAAGGGGTACAGGGAAAAAGAGTGCAACATTTACAAGTATAGATAATTGTCCATACAGTTATCATAAAATAAAAAAAAACAATTAGCCAGTAATACAGATAAACCTGTATGGAGGAGTAATAATAAAGTAATAAGTCCCTGTCTCAAGGGTAATTGGACTAAACCTCTTGATATATTATTTTCTGACCACATCCTCTTAGGATCTTTTGCATCCATATTCCATCTGCCCCCTCTGATTTTTTGGTGCAATTGATCCCAATGAATATACTTCTGCTTCAACAAACTATTTTGCTTTGTCTGTTGCAAACTGCAAACTGCAAGCTAGGATCCTACATCTTCCCACAGACTACCGAAGAACCTGTTGGCTTTGGGGCTATCCAGTGACAGTCATTCACAGCTTCTATGAAAGGCTCTCAGTGTTATGGAGCTTTAAAATTCAGTGAGCAGGGAAGAGATCTGCTAAACACTACAGGCCCCTTGTGAGAAAGCAGATGTTAGTCTGGAAGAAAGCCTGTCATAGGAGCCACAGAGAACAAAGAAACAAGTAGGTGGGGTAAACTGAGAAAGGCAGGAACATCAGTGAAATGAATCAATTTAAAAGAGAGGTTTCTTTGACCATCTGTCAGGTTAATAACGTTGTAGGACACTGGCACTGCATTTTCTGAGCCTATGGAACCACAGCCTCAAAAGATAAGAGGCTTGGTTCAGGCATCATGCTCTAACACTCCAATGAAAAGTTCCTCCATATCCTATTTCTAGTATCCATGATTTGCTGTGCCACTCAAACTGAGCAGCAACTGTCAAATCACAATAAATCACAGCCTAAAAGCATAATTCTAATTGCAAATATCTGGCTCAAACACCACAGCAAATTAGAAGTGACAGCAACTGAAGAAGCACCTCACATAAGAGATCATAGAATCATAAAGTTGGAAGGGGCTTCAAAGGCCATTGTGTCCAATTCCCTGCTCAACGCAGGAATACAAATCAAAGGATATCATAGCATGTTGCTGATCCTGGAATCATAACTGAAATCCTGCTATCATAAGTTATGCCACACAAGGCCACAGTGGCGATTTTTTAAAAACTTAAACATTTGCAATTTTTCCTCCAAAATTCCTGAGGCTTCTGTGTAATCATTTCCATTGCTAGAAAGCCATTGGAGACTGCAGGAAGAAGGGGAACGTCTTTAATTAATGGAAATCACCACTGGTGGTTAAGTCATCCTGATAGTGGCAATTTTCAGTAATTAAAGACCTTCTATCCTCCAAGTGCTTCCTAACTATGAAAGTGATTAAACAGGTGCTTCAGGACTTTCAGAGGAGAAACTGCAAATGTCAGTTTCTGAAAAATCGCTGCTGATGATGTCATCAGTCTTACATGGTGTAACTCACGGCAACAGGATTTCAGCTAGTAAATTGGTTGGCAAGATAGTGATGTGAAAACTGGCAATTTTTGTTTGAAACACTGCATGTCTGTTTGTGTTTTGTTCTTGTTTTTACCACTCCTGATGTTATCAACCATCCGAACTGATTGCAAAAAACAATTGCAAGAGGATGGGGAAAAAGCTAACAGAAACCATAAGGGGTGGGATATGTACAGCTCGTAGGTCTAGTGAAGTATTTTATGAATAGTTTTGATTATATTCCAGTTTCAACAAACGTTAGGAGAATAGCTAATAATAGCAACAATAATCATCTCCAAACCTAATGATTACTAATTAATAGGACTAATGGTTTGGATCAAAAGATGTTCCCACTCACAAAAGGAATATTTTTATACCTCCTCATTAAAGTGCCAAATGAGAAAAGTGAAACTAAATCTAGTAAAATTCTTCTTCTGCATAATCTTAAGCAAACATGAGAGCTACAGGATAATCTGTTGTAGCACTGTGACTGAATGGAACCTTGTGCATGCTCTCCTACAATCACTGCAAAACCTACTGTATTTATATTGGAAATATATCATGAAATAATTTGAAGTGTAGAATTTAGGTACACTAAGTAACATTGTATATACTCATATTACCAAAGTATTATTTACTTCCTAAGGCAATAAGGAAATTATTAGGCTCTTACCACCATCAAGACTCCTGGAAACGCGTTTGCTTGAGGTCCTTTCAAAATATGGAGCAGGCCTGTCTATGAGATTGCTAGCTTGCCTTGTCTGTGCTTGAGTACGGCCACTATAGCGGAATTTGGAACCCAATGTCAAGAATTTGGCTTTTGCAGGCTGCTCTGGTGATACAAGTCTACAATCCCAAAAAATGGAACAGTCATACTCAGAGGTATATTCAAGATGATAAAGAAAAAGTACACCCTTTTGCAGCGGAAGATATTTCAAAACAAAATAAAACATACTATCTTCTTATATATATATTTTGTCCCTAGCAGTGTTTTATAACACAATGAACTAATCTGTAGGCATTATAACACACTAAAATTTCTAAATGTAACTTATTTTTATCTAATAGTATCTAGTCAGTTAAAACATGAGATGGCATTAAAGAGGCTATATCCACAGACACACTCATCTCCAAAGTATAATCTTGCAAGACTACTTCCATATTTTGCCTCCCCGCTAAAGCCATGTAAATAAACTCAACTAAAAATAATTCATGTAGAAGGAAATCCAGCACACAGTTTCAAAAAATAGACAACTAGCACATACATTAGCTGGTTAGAAAGCTCACTGAGTTGGAGCACCTTGCTAAGGAGTCTAGATTCGACTCCCTATTGTGCCTTCTAGGAAAAAAGCAAGCCTGTGCACATGGAGAATCCTTGTCCCGCCTCCTCATCTGAGTGGTCTGCTGCTGGAGGAGGCAGACTGGGAAGCCAGCAATGGAGGATGACCTGGGTGGGGCACAATGGCCTGTGAGTGAGGCAGCCATCTGGGAGACGGGGGGAGAGAACATGCTGCACTTGTGGTGCCGGACAAAGATCTTTAACAAACAGGCATGACTTAAGTCATGCCCATCTCTAATTCATAGCTTTAATTGGCCAATTTGGCAGCTATGCCACTCTGGGATGGCATAGAGGGTAGAAACGTCTGCAGCAGCAGCTGCACTGCGTACATTTGGCTGCAAATTCATCTAAGCCTACAACTAGGTAGGCATTTGATGGTGCTGGTTGTATAGATGCCGCTCTCATATCAAAGGGACCGCTGGGATCCCTATTTGAATGCAACAAAAATGAACAACAGTGATGAAATGGTATTATTTTGAGTCCTCCACCCTATGTATCTATAACATTCAGCTAATCCAGTCAGTTGCAGTATTTAAATACCACAGTTAATTTGTTTAATATAGTTGAATTGCTGATATCAACTGGCAACATTCAAAGAAAAGTCTGAGATTAGAGTTATTAGCTGTAATTCTATTGTAGTGTCACACACGGAAGGTAAAAAACATAACATTATGTCATTCCTAGCCATCAATTAATGAGTCCCTGCTGGATTTCAGGGTTTCAGCCAGTAAAAGACAGGATGTGTGTGTGAAGAGATTTTTAAAATCTGGCTCACTATGTACTTGAATGTCACTTATATAAAGGCATAAGAAAAAATATTTACACCTTCTTTTTAAGAAAGTGAAATATGGGGATGTAATAAAGAAACTGAAGTATTTCTCATGGACCTCTAACCCATACGTGATATAAAGGGTTGCAGTATTTTCTGTCAAAGCCACTATATGCAGAGTAAACTGTCTAAATACTGTCACTTGTTATAAAGATTCAGAGAAATGAATGTAAGGGTGTTTTTATGTTAAAAGTTCATAAACACTAACTTACTGATGCCTAGGTATTCTGTTTTAACTAAGTAAAGATCAGATTTTACTTTATAGTTTTGTCATTATAAATGCATTTTTTAAAATATTGTAGTATAATGATTTGTGGACATCTTTGATGTGAAATGTTATAAAATCTAGAGGTGTGATGTAAGGTGACCACTAAAATATTAATTTGTGCAAAGGTTTTATATATAACTTATAGTTTTGATATAACAATTTTGTGTATTTTATTATTATATTGTACTACAATAATTTTCCATTGAGCAAAAAACATTAACTGAGAAAACCTGTAACTTGAAATTAGTATTTTATTATTATATCTACAACTTACCATTTCTATTAGATTTTCTGGTTTGCTTTTCAGTGTAAAGTCCTCTCATAAAATGGATTACAAAATGTTTTGTCTAGAATCTTATTCATTCATTTTGCTAGTCAGAATACAGTGGTATAGATTGCAGTACTGAATTGCTGGTAATTAACAAGTCACATCTTATAGTCTTTGTTGGGCAACAACTCTTTGAGGTTCAGTCGCTCCTTGAGGTATACAGCCTCTCTTTTTCTGCTCTGGCCTGAGTAATGACATTGTACTTATAGGTTCCAAAATTTCAACATTTATTTTGGGAAGGTCTAAAAAAACTATCAGCATGAACTGGAATTGCTAACTTCTCTTCCTCGCCCAATCTTGGTTCATAACAGGGTTGTTAACATGAGTTTCAAACTGTCCAAATCAGGTGTGTGTCCCTTACTGTCAGTACTGATGGAGTTGACAGTACAAGGTCTTCAAGGGTAGTCTCATGCCTGGGATCCTCAATTCCCGACTCCAGTAAGTCCTACAGGTTGGTGTCTTATTGTTTCCTGTTCCAGATGGGTTGTGCCATCTCACCCTTTCTCTCCTCTCTCTCCTAGTTTGGCTTGTTCCTCTCTGATCCACCTAGCCCGCTCTTGGGCTTCCTTCTCATCCCAACAGAAAGGCTTCCGGGATCTTACTTCTTTCCTCCTCCTTGTAGGGTTTCATTAATTTTCCCACTTCTTAGTCCAGAGCTTTTCCATCCAGATCCACTACCAACCTGGTGGGATGATTCTCTCTTCTTTTCTTGCCTCTGCTTCTCCTGCTTCTGGCTCCTCTCCCCTGGGTCTTCCTTCCGTATATATCTCCTTCTCCTCTCCCTCTATGAGTTGCTTGTAGCAAAGTCCAATAGGCTGCCAGGTGATGTTCTAACAATTACTGGCTTCAGCTGTGCTCTCAGATACAGATAGAAGTAGACACAGGTAACATCAAGGGAATGTATGACGTTATCAAGCAGGCTTTAGGTCCACTACAGAAGAAATCTGCTCCTTTGAAGTCTGTTACAGGCTTGATCAGCCAGGACTGAGAATAGCAGATGGAACACTGGGTGTAGCGCTACTCTGAGCTATATTCTAGAGAGAATGTAGTAACCAAAGATGCATTAAATAACATCGAGTGCCTGACTGTCTTGGAAGAGTTGGACAGTGAACCAACTTTAGCAGAAATAAAAGCAGCCTTCGATTCAATGTATTTGTGAAGGCTTTCATGGCCGGGATCTAATGGTTGTTGTGGGTTTTTCGGGCTCTTTGGCCGTGTTGTGAAGGTTATTCTTCCTAACATTTCGGCAGTCTCTGTGGCCGGCATCTTCAGAGGACAGCCTTGGATTCCCTTGCCTCCAAGCAAGGCACCTGGGAAGGGCAACATCCCTGCTGAACTGCAGAAGTGCTGTGAAGAGATCATCACCAGCAAGCTGCATGAAATCTTTTGTCTTTGCTGAAGGGGAAGTGGAGTACCACAGGACATGAAGGATGCAAACATCATCACATTGTATAAGAACAAAGGAGACAGGGGCGACTGCAATAACTACCGTGGCATCTCTTTTCTCAGCGTTGTAGGGAAGCTGCTTGCCCGTGTTGTGCTGAAGAGGATCCAGGTGCTTGCAGACAGAAACTATCCAGAATTACAGTGTGGATTTCGAGCTAACAGATCCACCACTGGCATGGTATTTTCCCTCAGACAGTTGCAGGAGAAATGTAGGGAACAACGACAGCCACTCTTTGTGGCCTTCATAGACCTCAAAAAGCCCTTTGATATGGTTAGCAGGGACAGCCTTTTAAAAATACTTCCCATGATTGAATGTCCACCTTGACTCCTTAACATCAAGTTCTTTCATGAGGAAATGAAGGCCACTGAAGTTTTTGATGGCTCAACATCAGATCCCTTTGACATCCGAAGCGGAGTAAAACAGGGCTGTGTCCTCACGCCAACCCTGTTTGGGATTTTTTGCTGTCATGCTGAAGCACGCCTTTGGAACTGCAACAAAAGGTGTCTTTCTATGGACTAGATCAGATGGAAAGCTCTTTAATCTCTCTAGATTGAAAGCAAAGAACGAAGTCCAACTGAAATGCATGCAGGACTTCCTCTTCGCCGATGGTGCAGCCATTGTTGCCCACTCTGCTGAAGACTTCCAACAACTCATGAATTGTTTTAGTAAGGCCTGCCAGGACTTTGGACTAACAATCAGTGTCTGAAGAAAACACAAGTCATGGGACAGGGTGTGGACTCACCTCTCTCTATTACCATCTCCACGCAAGAATTGGAGGTTGTTCATGACTTTGTGTACCTTGGCTCAACCATCTCTGACACATCCCTAGATGTTGAGCTGGATAAATGCACTGGCAAAGCAGCTACCATGTTCTCTTGACTCACAAATAGAGTATGGCTTAGTAAGAAGCTGACGGCATATACCAAGATCCAGGTCTATAGAGCCTGTGTCCTGAGTACACTTCTGTACTGCAGTGAGTCCTGGACCTTTTGTGCACAGCAGGAGAGGAAGCTGAACACCTTCCATATGCGTTGTCTCCAACACATTTTTGTTATCACCTGGTAGGACAAAGTTCCAAATAGAGTAGTCCTAGAAAGAGCTGGACTTTTTAACATGCATACATTACTGAAACAGTGAAGTCTACGTTGGCTTGGGCATCTTGTGAGAATGGCTGATGGTTGGATTTCAAAAGATCTCCTGTATGGAGAATTAGTGCAGGGAAATCGCCCCAGAGGGAGACCACAACTGTGATACAAGGATATCTCCAAGCAGGGTCTGAAGGCCTTAGGAATGGGCCTCAACAGATAGGAAACCTTGACATCTGAGCGTTCAGCCTGAGGTAGGCGGTGCATCATGGCCTCTCCCAATTTGAAGAGACACTTGTTCAACAGGCTGAGGCAAAGAGGCAGTCCCGAAACCAGCAAAATCAGGGAGCCGGGCAGGGGACAGACTGTATTTGTCTTCAGTGTGGAAGGGACTGTCACTTTCAAATTGGGTTTCTCAGCCACACTAGACGCTGTTCCAAGACCTCTATTTAGAACACGTTACCATAGTCTCTTGAGACTGAAGGATACCTACCCCCTCTATCTTTCCCACCTTTTTCAATGGTTCTCTCACCTCCTTCACACAATCTGTTTCCTCCAATACCCTGGCTTCCTCCTCTCCTAAAATTCCTAACTTCCTCAATGGTACTGACCCAGCTTCTTCTATCTGCTCTACCCGTTTCTCAATGTCTCTCCCTTCTCTCTCATCTAAGGGGCTCATAACTCCTTCAGTCGCTGTCTGGATGTCAGCAGACTTCTCCCACCTCTCCACGGGGAGGATGGCACTCTGGCCAGGATAATAACTGGCTGGCCTTCATCCTCACAAACTCCAATTGAGGCTATCTGAGGAACTGCATTTCCCCAAGTCAGCCTCCTTGGGTTTTAAGGTCTTTAGTGCAGGTCTTTCTCTCTGTCCCACAACCTTCACAGATACAGTATATTTGGTCAGGACGTAAGAGAAGGCATTTTCTGTGGCTGCTCTCAGGCTGTGGAGCTCTCTTCCACAGGGAAAAAGGTTGGCCTCCTACCTGCTATCCTTTTACAGGCAGGCAAAGGCCTTTTGTTTTCTAATGTAAACTTCTGCTCAAAAAGGAGTTTTAAAGGGGATGTTAATCTTTTAAAATGAATTGTTTTAAAGGGACGTAACTTAGCTTTTTTGATGATTAACCCATTAAGTTTTTTAATATTGTAATTCATTGTATTTTTATTTTGAAAAATGCGTTTTAAAATTTTGGGCAAGCTGTTTCGGGGTCCTTTGCCAGAAGGAAAGCATTATATCAAATAAATAAGATAATCTATAAACTCATGCACCCAGCACATGTTTTTATAAGCAGCAACTTGTTAATTAGTGGCAATTCACCACTGCAGTTTATGACACTGTACTTACACTGGTATAACTAACAAACAGAATGTTAGTCTCTGAGGTACAAAATAAAAAATCAATTCACACAATCAGTAAGTTACATTCTGTACATAAGCATTACAGTAACAAGACAGGATAATAAATAAATTAATACCAAATTTTGCGATCCAAGACAATACATATATACACTTCTTTGCCTGTTTCTTTTATAAGAAAGCAATTTGTTCCCATTTTTCAGTATTTCAAGTCAATGAAGGAAGTCACAGCAAAGACTTGTATACATTCTGTTTGAATATGCAAGTGATTGTGACTACACAAAATAGATCTCACACATTTAGATTTTTAAAATTGTCTGCCCAAGGTCTTAAGAAGGACATATGTCTACATGAAATCATAGCAGAAATGTATCATATGGGATTTTTTAAAAAATAAAAAAGGGAATATAATCATGAAATAGTTGTCTTTAACAGCAGTAAGGAAAGAAAACCTAATCATTTTCCCATTTTAAATCAAAACGGACTTTTTCTGTTCAAAGAAGAAAAGATATAGTGATATTGTATCCACTAGACACGGGGTTATTCGTGGGAGATACGAATATGGGGATATGAATAGCACAACCACAGGTGCCACAGAGGCACATTCCCTCCCTACCAGAACCAGCCAGTTCACTCACCATTCAAAGTGCAGCACTCAGCTGCATTGTAATGTCAGTTGTGGAAAGAGCCTGGCTATCTCTTCCCTGCCTCCCTGTGCAGTACACCTCTGCAGTGGGATGGGAAGTCTTCCTGCTCTGCCAATGAGTGGTCTGCTGCAAGGGAAAGCAGGGAAGAGCCAGCCAGGCTGCTTATACGATTGGCATGATGATGATGACAGACAACAGAGATGAGCGCTGCACTACAAATGGTGAGTGGACTGGCCGTTTATGGGTGGAGGGAATGGGCCTCTGTGGCACCTGTGGTGTTGCTATTCAAATTTGTATCCTCAGGGATAAGAATACAAATAGCCCATGTCTAATATCCACCAAATAAAGAATATAAAATATTTACCTATAAAAGGTATGATGCTCCACACAAACCTTCCATAATCTCTTTGCAGCTCGGTGGTTTGGCAGTTTAAACCCAATAGTACTCTCGAACTGTTCCAACTGGAAAGATTTCATATACCAATATAAATATAATTTCTGAGGATTAACACAATTTCTGACCTTTCACAGCTGACCAGGCTAACAAATTCAGGAGTACAATAATCTCATTTACAGTGCCTCTCACTTTTTAAGATCAGAAGCACTCAAGACATTTCATATTTGTAGGTACTGCCTGAATTTTTAGACTAGTAGCTACTTTTCTCTTGGGGAAGAAAAACAAAGAAGCATATACAGTACAATACACATCTAACAGTTTAATGTGAAAAAGAATGTAAAGTTTTGTTATAATTACCCCAAAGAATAAAAAGAATTCTAAGAAAACATTTACTTAGTTTCAACAGGCAGCACAAATATTGTGCAAAGATGTTTTCACTTGCCTTTTTCACCGCTGACCTATTTGAGATAAAATGAGCTTACCAGAGTCATCCCAAACATATTTACCAAAGGGTATATCATACTGAACTCAACAGGACTAATTTCTGAGTACATGTAACTAGGGCTTTGCTTTTAGAATCATGCTATGTGTTTTTGGTAGGCTACATTCTTGTTAAATATATTTACCTTTATATGTTTCCTGTATTCTGAAAGCATCTTGGAGACCATGGAAAGTGAATATTTATATTGTTGAAAAGAAGAAACAGAGGGGCCACAATCAAAAGGCAATATAACATTCTTTAAAGTGGCAGCCTCTTACAAATGGGTAGCAAATGCCTTCTCTGAAATCCTTTCCTCAGCATTCCAGCAGTCAAAGAGGCAAGCTATTTCTAAAGTAAACTGTGGTTTGCCAATACATCTATAACTGATGGAGCAAAAATTAAGGCTGTCCCAACTGTATGTGAAATTCTTGGAAGCACGCATATATAATAACTGAAATCCAATATTAAGTTGTAACTAATGAGTGAGTCAATTCCTCTGTAAGTTCCAGATGAAATGGGCCTACTCTAGTTGTAACATGCTACAGTATTTCAGCCACTGTGTTTTATCTGCAGTAGCGAATATACAAAGCTACTGCTGCTGACATATTTTTAGCAGCACAATCAGTTGCATGCCTATCTGAGTGCATCTCCTGAGTAGCAAGCTTCCTGCTGGCTAAAGTCCATTTATCTTCAGATGGATGTTAAGGAGGGGTTGGAGTTAATCCCACAAAAATCTGTGGTATGCCCCCATTGTGGCTTAATAGTTTGTAATCCTTATTCCCAAAGATGCAGTCAAGTAGATCCATCTACCTATCATATCCAGTGGTTTCTGGTCTGAGACGTTTTTACAATGATGAAGTTAGGCTATGGATGTTTTAGGAGAAAGGTGGCCTCCGTGCCATATGGGGGTCTTTGACTGTGTGGGGGTTGGTGGCAGGGTAGTTGGTTTAACCCATTACTCCCTGATGAGGTCTAATAAGCATACAGTACCAATATATACAGGTGTGGTCTTATCTTTATTGATCTGGCCATAAACAGGTTTAGACCTTGACGGTGGTGGCCGCTAAACCTCTAGTTTTAGGCTTTTGGCCATTTGAAGCATAACATTGGAATATGATCTAAAATCCTCAGATGGAGATGGAGGATTCATATCCACCACATCAGACTTTGGGTAGTGACCAGAATCGATAGAGAGATGTCAGATGGAGTGTTTTAATTTGGTGTGCTTCACACCGGTAGCTTTCGAGACTGCCAGATGGGAATACTTCTCCTTTAATTTCTTGCTTACATCTGATTGTAATAGTGAACATTAGTCTTAGGACAGAGATCTTCAATTTCAACCCCATTTAGGTGATGAAGATCAGAACCAGGATTTTTGGGCTCTGTTTAGATGTCGGGAAAATTGATGAAGTTGAGGGTAGTGAAATCAACCAACATCCTTGTATTGTTGGTACTGAGGTACTTGACACTGATGTGTCTCTTTGCTTCTGTCTCATTGTTGGTGGGTGTCAAGAGGATTTTCCTTGTGTGGGGTTTTTTGTTTGTTTGTTTTTTGGATAATTAGTGGTTGGAACAAGAGACTTTGTAGCTAATCTGGGTGGGCTCCAAATAAGATGTGGCTATTGTTGATGAGACAAATCTGGTGATGATCTCAAAGCCAACTACTCATTTCTCTGCTCTGGCAATTCTGATGCCAAGTGTTTACGTTTCTCATGCCAATGAGCATCTTGTGCTGACATCGGAGAATGCATATTCAGGTCACAGAGAAAGCAAAGTTGTTTCTCTCTCTGCATTCTTGTATAGTCAAAGAAAGGTAGCAGAAAATGTCACTCTGGCCCCAGATAGATATGTGGTATGGCACCAAAGTAGTATGGAATATGTGTGTGAGAGATGTACATTGCCCCCTGAGAAAAATGTGCCTTAATGGACCTTTTAAAAGCTGGGGATCCTTTCTCTCTCTCCTCCCCTCCTCTCTCTCTCACACACACACACATTCACACCCTCAACACTGATGATGGCTGTGAATGTTCATGGTGAGGACCGTGTGGGTTTAGAGGGGAGAGTTTGCTTAATGTCTGTTGAGTTAGCTGGCTCTGTTCCAGAGAACGGCTGAAGGATCCACACGTAAGTGATGTTTCTTCCTCTGATGCTAAACCCAAGCATACTAGGTCCTCCTGGTATTTATCCTGAACTGGATGCTGCTGAAGGGAGGACCAGAGGAACCAATGGTTGGTCTTTACATTTTTGTGTTTCCTGCTTGGGTTTTGCCTTCTTTATTTTACTGACTGCAGAGTCTTGGGTTTCTTTCTCTTTCTTTACATAGAAATCAATGTTGCTTTCAAGGATGCCGTCAATTTCAAGGTGGAAAGCCTATCCTTGAGCTTGAGAAATGATGTCTTAAGTATAGAGTCCATTTTCTAAGGATCATGCCAAGTTTTAGTAGAAATTGTCTCTGAATGGAGTGTGTCCATCAGCATTTGTGTGGAAGGTATCTTTCAGATGGATACTGCTGGAGCCAGTGTTGTTTGTTTTGATAGCATGTCTATCACCTGTATTGATTTTTCCCACAGACAAAACTTTAAATGGGATTACCAGTTTTTTATGGTGACTGATAAATCTATGGCACATTCAGGTTTAGTGCCACTCACCCAGGAACCAAAGGCACTTAGAATGTCCATCAGTGAGAAGGGATCGTATCAGTGCATGTGACACACTTGTTAAATGGGCCCACTTGGGTCATTAAAGGGAGGAAGGCCTCAACATGAATACTATTTTTTTAAAGGGAAAAACTCACGTATGATGAAGGAGGGGATAATGAAGGAAGGATGGACCACAGGTGAGAAAACAGTAGGTTAAAATTGTTTATAGTAGTCTGTGCTATGGCCAGAGAGAGAGAGAGAGAGAGAGAGAGAGAGAGAGAGAGACTGTTTTCCTTAAAAAGCAGGATGAAATGTTTAAAAACGAGGGAAGGAGGGGCGGGGATGAGGGAGGAAAGCATACTCAGATCACCTCAATAGGAAAGAATGTAAAAGGGGAGGCATGGGTGAATTTGGGGGCAGAAATTTATGATCGGAGATCAGATAGATCTGTGTTGCTTCAAAATCAAGACATTGATTACACTGGGATGAAATTAGTAAATCAGATAGAAAATGCCTTAATTTCATAGATGGCATTTTAAAATTGGCAAAAAGGAGGCAAGAGGTGAATCTTGGACGTATGACACTGGAACTGAGAAGCAAAAATGAAAAGGGAGAAAGTAACTTGCTGATTAAATAATAAAAAATCGTTGGTTTGAGAGATATATATAGTTAGGCATCCTTCAGTCTCGAAAGACTATGGTAGCGTGCTCTGTATGGAGGGCTTGGAACAGCGCCTAGTGTGGCTGAGAAGGCCAATTCGAGAGTGACAGTCTCTTCCACACTGAAGACAAACCCAGTCTGTCCCCTGTCCGGCTCCCTGGTTTTGCTGCTTATGGGACTTCCTCTTTGCCTCGGCCTGCTGGGCAAGGGTCTCTTCAAATTTGAAGAGATATATATATAGTCACACATAAAGTAATATGAGTAATCATACTATAAGCAATTCTGGCCAGGTGGGAATCTCAATAGTAGACAAGCATATGTAATTATGAATCTTAGAAATGTTGATGAAGAATAATAATATTAGATGTTTTTGTTTTTATGGTACATATACAGAGATCAAATATGTGGGAATTACTATAGTGAGTATGTAGATAAGATCAGATATATACTATAATACCTTATTATTTGTAAAAAAGGGGATATCTGAGGAAGGTATTGTCCTGGCTTGGAGGTTTTTTTTGAGGGATAAGTAATCTTAAAGATGAAATTAGAAATGCTTATGATGAGTATTGGATAGATGGGTATGCAGGTGAAAGAATTCTATAGAGATTTTATAGATGGCACTTCAAAGCTGGTAAAAAGAATGCAAGAAATGAATTCTAGATTTACAAGGCTATAAGTAATCTGAAATCCCTGGTCTATATATGGAGCAGAGAAATATAACAAAAATTAGAAGTTGCTTGCTGAAAGTTTTAAATGGTTGATAAGTGCATATAACGTTTAAATTAGAATACGTATCTTGATTGTAACTGTTTAGAAGTTATTGTTTATAAGACAGAAATATAAAGACACTAAGTAATATATGAATCATAGTTTGTCTATGTATTAAGAATTGTTTGAATATAAGATCAATATAGGTGTAAGTTTATATTTTAGATAATGTATGTATGTTTATCATTATAAAGCTAGGAAGTCACGTTTTGATCTTAATAATGGTCTAAATATGTTAGTAAGGTAATATGGTTTATGTAGTCAGAATTATATACTAGATGGCTGTATGGAAATTATCTCCCCGCATATACATTTGTGTTTGTTTTGTATGTCTGTTTGTGATCGCAAAACAGTCATTGTAAAGTGGTTTTGTCGTTTAACGAGGTAACTGTTAAGCGAGGCACCACTGTAGGAGCACAGGCTCCTATTAAATTCCAATGCCACAGGCACAACTGATCTAGGAGAAACTGGAGGGGAGTGAAGCTCCGCTTCCTGTCAGATCAACAGCGGCATTAGTACCTCATAGGAAAGAGCACTGATAGGAGGCAGACTCGCTGCTCATCTGTCCTGGCAGCCCGGTCCTTCCAAGGCCACAGACCAGTATCAGTCCATGGTCTGGGGACCCATGTTTTATTGTGATATATGGCAGTTCTGAATAGTGATGTGTTACATCAACAACAGTCTCTCTGGTTCTCCAGTGAGTAAGTTCTTTCTGCTTTTCTTTTCCCATTAATTTTACCTTGGATGATAAGCTATAACGATCCGTACTTTTGTAAATTTTCTCACTTCTGTCTCACATTATTTGCAACATATACCATCTGATCATTTCATAAAATTTCTAAGGTGAATTTTAAGCCCAAATGCTTACCTCAGTTGGTCTGACTTTAATATAGAAGTTACTGCGTTTATAAGAAATCTTCAAAATTTTGGGCCAGGCAAAACGGTTGATTCGGAGCCTGTCCTTGTAAATAAGCAAGCCATTGGCACATACTCCCAGCATGATGTCCACACCTTCAGAATCCTATTAAGACAATTGTGAAAGGAGTTTGAATATTGTAGGAATGTAAAAAATAAATAAATAAATAAATAAATAAATAAATAAATAAATAAATAAATAAATAAAATAATTTATTGTCATTGTAAGTACATACACAGTATACCCATACAACGAAATTCACAGACACCCAGAGACCAGACACATGCACACACATAAAATTCCCCAAAACTCC